CGGCTGTTGGAGTGGGGGTGGGTCATCCCGCGAGAACCACCTCAGTTGGTCCTGGCGGTCCAACTCATTCTCCAGCGGGGAAAAGTTCTCCCGCAGCCGCCATGAGGAGGAGCCATAGGCTATCCCAAAGGTCGCCCTGCCCGCCGCCGACGCCACCAGGCCGTTGAAGTAGTCCGTTGGTACCACTTGGTCAGCCTGGCCCACCGGAATGCCCGCTAGCTCCAGGAGCTGAGCGAAGCGGAGAGCCGGCTCCCCGCCCAGCTGCCTCCCTTCCTCCGCCGTGCCATGGCGCAGGCACATCAGGACCAGCAACTCCCCGTCTGTCTGTCTCGGGGAGATAGACTCATCCGCCAGCGTGTCCCACAGGACCCTTGGGATGCGGTCCCAAAGACGAGTGTAAGGCGGGCGCAACAGAAACTGTGTAGAGACCCTAGCCATGCTGAAAACAAGGGTTCGAGCCTCCTATCGAATGGCCGGGACCCAACCGCGACAAACTGCAAACACGACCAACCCTTCCTGATGCCGAGTGCGCGTGGGGCAGGCAGGCGGCATGCAGCCCACCAAGCCCAAAGAGTCCCCCCCGGAAATCCCCAAAAGAACCACGGAGGGGGGAAGACCCACCCGACGGGGGATTCCCCAAAACCCCCAAGGGGACCTCAGGGAGCCCAGCGTCAGCCGCAGCCACTTTCTTCAAACAGCGGCCGATACGGCCCGTCCTTGGGGCAGCCAAATTGCGCAGCCTCCGGCTCGAGGCAAACCGGCAGTCGTGGCGTGTTGAACAGGGGGGGAAACCAAGGTGAATGATGAACCCAAAACAAGGGAAACACCCCAACACCTCCCCCCCACCCAAGACGGGGCCAGAGGCACCCAAGTCCCGGTGGGGAGAGATCATACGACTCCACCTCCAAAAGGGTAGTGAGACACGACCTAGCGGCTCTCACCCTTCAAGATCGCCTCCTTTGCCACCGAGTGGATGGCCGCCAGCCCTGACTTCTCTGGGTTGCTCAGGATGACCGACCACAGGGCAGTGGAGACATCCCCCAGGCCATTCGAAGAGCTGAAGCGCATGCGCGGGGTGCTCGCATCTCCAAGGACTAGCCGCTCGTCCCTGGGGGGCTCCGTCGGCTCCACCCGCTTGTAGAACTCCATCCTGTCCCGGATCCACTGGTTATAGAGTTGCTCCGGGGGCTCGTCCATCACCAGCTGCAGGCATGTGGCCTTGTCCTTGTGCCAGCCCGTAATCTGGAGCAGCCTGGTCCCCCCACGGCTCGCCTTCCAGAAGCCCTTGCAGAACCTGCACATGTAGCCCCCGGTGGTCTTGAACTTCTCTTTGCCCACCACTTCCCATGCGCTGATGCTGGGCAGGACCAGGCCGCACTCCACCGAGGCCCAGAACACGTGCTTGGTTCCATTCGGGAAGTGCTTGTTGATGTACTTCCGGCCCGCGACCGCCGTGACCGTGGACGTGGTGATCGGGGGGTACCGCCTGGTACCCTGGTCCGGCGTGCGGAGCGTGGTGTCCGCTCCCGCCAGAATCTTGGCCTTGGGGTCCGATTCCTTGGCCGCCCCGCCCCCGGGGCCAGAGGCACCCAAGGGGGGGGAGCAGCCCAGCTGCCTGATCAGGTCCTGGGAGTAGCCCAGCCGGTCGTACAGGGCCCCCGCCGCCTCCTGCGGGACCGGCTCCACCCAGTCATGGACCACGTTGCAACGCCAGTTGACCTTGATCTCCACCATGGAGGACTTACTCAGGCCCGCCACCAGTTTGGTGTACACCGAGTCAAAAGCCCTCAACGATGACAGCGGAAGTGTGATTCGCTCGTCACAGACCGCCCTGAAACGCAGGGCCTCCTTGCTGTCGTGGACGGGGGCCACCGGGAGCTCCATCACCGGCAATGGGCAATTGACGATGAAGTTCTTGGCTGCCAGAAACGTCCCCATCTCCTTAAAGATGTAGCTCCATTCCGCCTTGCTGCGCGGCTTGGGGATTCCCAGGCTCTCCAGGAAGGGGACCGCCTCCTTCCGCATCTGGAGGATGTTCCCCATCCACTTATCCGAAGTCGAGCCCTCCGCATTGCGGCCCCGTCGCTGCGTCTTCACGACCAGCGGGAATGTGGTCCAAGCCGAGTAGATGTACTTGAAGGTGAAGCGATGGGCGTCAGGTCCCACGTGCGAGTCTGCCTTGTCCAAAACACGCCATCGCCCTTAGCCCAGAAGATCCCCACCACCTGCTCCGGCGCCGGGCACTCACCCCGGTTAACCTGCGCTCGGATCTCCAGGGCCGAGTAGATGATCGGGTCGATGTGGTCCCGCTCACACGTGAGTGGGTGGGTCCTGCGCTCCAGGGCCAGGAGCTCCTCCGGCGAGAGCTTGAATTGCTGGTCCGCGCCCTTGGGGATCTCACCGCTGGAGTGCTTCTTCCAGATCCCCCCAAACATCCGTAGCTCCCCTTGGTGCCTCTTCATCGCCCAGAGGAGCAGGGACAGCTTACCCTCCTCCGAGTCCAGGTCCTGCGGTGGCCCTCCCCCGGGGCCAGTGGCACCCTTGGGGGGGGGCCGGTGTCGCCAGATCGGGCATCTCCTCCAGCAACGCCTCCTGGTTTCACGGGTTCTGCGCCTCTCTAAGCCTCCGGATGTATGGGACGTACTTCTCCTTGATGTCCCCCACGTTGGGGATGTCTTCAGGGTCATCCAGCTCCAGGGGGCAGAACAGCCCCCTCTCCAGGGCCTGTCTGAGATCATCTGGCCATGCCGACACCTCCAGGGGCTGGAGGGTGTGGTTAAGCATCCATGCCTGGTTGGTGTCCTGGGTGCGCTTGTTCGCCTCCTGCGCCTCCTGAATGGAGCCCATCGCATCAGCCAGTGCCTGGCTGGCGTCGACACCCTTTCCCTCCAGGTACTGGTCTCGCAGCTTGGCCTTGAATCGCTCCAGGTTGACCTTCCTGAGGGCCCGGGCTCCCTCGTTGGCCACCTCCTCTGCCGGCAGGGCCTGCATGCCCTCCTGGAGAGGCGCCAGGATTGCCATCTCATTGTCCAACATTTGTCCAACATCTCATCCGTGACCAACTCCTTGCGCCGCCGCCTGGCCGAGGACTCCTCCGGGGTCGGTTCCCGGTGCTCCCTCAAAGCCTTATGCAGCTCTTCCTTTCTCCGGATCGCCTGGTCCACCTGGGGGTGGTAGAGCTGGAAGCTCTGAGCCTCTGCCTCCTGCAGGGACCGCTGCACCTTGACCTTGACCTCCTGGCGCTCCCGGACCTTCAACGCCTCGTCGTCCGCCTCCATGGACAGGATCTCCTGCCGGATGTCCACCCGCCTGTTAAGCGGGACCACGTCAGCCATAGTGATCTCCTCGGCCGTGTCCGTTTTCGGAGGAGCTCTCCCCAGGATCGTGCCGTCCACCAGGTTGCGGTCTGCCTGTGCCCGGGTACCACCGGGGCCAGCGGCACCCAGGCTTCCCCCATCCCGCTGCTGGATCCAGGTCGGCTTGCCCTCCACAATGAGCAGGTTGTACGTGACGCCGTCCGCCTCGTAGGTAGCCGAGGGTGCCTGGAAGGGGACAAACTCCTTGCCCGGGCAGACCCAGCATTGATTGGCTGCCTCCGGCCACCCCGTGCCGCATGCCTTACACATGAATTTGTAGTCCGAGTGGCCGGCATCGAGTCTGTGCATCCGCTGGGTGCCAATGCATGCCTTATTCCGCTGGAACTGTGAGGCCCAGACCTCCTCTTGCCGGATCTGGATCTTCATCGGAACATAAGCCTCCAGGATGCGAACCACCAAGTCCTCCGTGAGATTCTTCCCGACAAACTTGTGGAACAGGGAGACCGCCTCCTCCACCGTGACGTCCCTCAGCAACGTGGCCGCCGATGCCGGAAGGACCGGGAAGAGGTCTGGGAGGTCAACTAGCTTGAAATAGCCAGGACGGCCATCCACCGGCACCAGGGAGACCGGTTTGTTCACCGGGGCCGTGGTCTTCTGGGAGGCCGCCACGAAGCCCTTCAGCCTCTTCGTTGGTGGAGTAGCCCGCTCCGTGGTGACCGCATCGCCCATCTCCTTGTCCTCGTCCTCGGCGGGGCCAGGGGCACCCAGGCCGGGAGTCGGTGTGGAGAAGGCCACACGGAGCCGCTCCAGTGCACTGGAGAGGTCGTTCATCACATCGGTGGCCGATGCCGACGGGGGCGCCTCGGGCTCATCCAACACCAGGCCGGCCGCCACAGCCGCCTCGCGTGTGCGGACTTCCTGGGCCTCCTGGCTGGCCATTTCCACCTCCTCCGCGGTGAGTGCCTGGTCCTCAATCAACTCGAAGGAAGTTGCCGAAGTTGCCGAGGAGGCCATTGCTGGTTCGGGGTTAGTTCGGAAGTGCTACCTTTCAATTTTTTCACACAAGTTGGGTTCAGAGAACCCAAGAACAAAGCTTGAGCCAAAATGGCCGGGGCCATTATGGTCAAGCATTTCAAACACAGTTCATGTTTCCACATGCGTTTCAACATTAACAAAAAATTAGAGGGCGCGTCCCCGTAGTCTTGTGGGGAAGTTTAGTCCCAGGTCATTCCCAAATTGGACCATAGAATGCTGAAAAGCCTGACAGAACCTGAAATTCAGTTGGAGCAAGGACTTAAGGGGGGCTTCGGTGCCGCTGGGTAGCCATGAAGTGAAACCCTGGCCCACGAATGCTTCATGTGATCGCCACAGTTGCGTGATTCGTCACCCTCAGATTTCGAACGCCCTTCCAAGTGAATCATACGCGTGGTCCCCTGACACTCACCTGTGTAGACCCTGCTCCAGACTGGGGACATGCGAGGATAGTGGTAGCCATGCATGAACAAACCTGTCCGATTGATACCATAGTGAGAGTGGATGTCTTTGTAAGATGATGTTCGTCTTCCGAAAACCCTCCTCTCCACTTCCATGATTGCTGGAAGGAGAGCAATCAACCGGGGCTTTGTGAAACATATTAGTTCTTAGATGCTCATAATTGTCAGCTGCAAAAATTGCATTTCTCACCCATCCTCACACAGCGCGGCGATGGTGTGGAAAATCACAGGCTTTCCGCCGGGCATGCAAATCACCTGCGCAGGAAAACCGACTCAGTTTCCGACGGAAAAAGGGAAACACTGCCTCAAGGAGTCAAATCACCCAGACTCCACTGGGCGTTGCTTGCTCCTAGATATGAAAAGGACCTAACGGATGTGCAGCTTGTCTTCCTTGAGGAAAGCAACCAGGGAACTGTCGCGTTTCTGAATTTAAGCGTTGTGGGTTCGGTGGCGGGTATACTTTCATTCCTTCAAGGGGTGCTAGAGGGAGGAGGGATATCACCTATGGAACGCTTAATAAGAGTAAGGCCCTATTAGGGGCTGCTCCTTCGCTTGTCTTGGGTAGCCATACACCTCGTACATGTTTGCGTCCCGATCAATACTGGTTTCATGTCATATGAGATCAGCGATGAATGTTGCTCTAGAGCAAATTAAGGTACGTCCAGGTAGCAGGCGGCAGCTGGGTGTGGCCTGTCGAGGGTACCCTTTTTGGGTTGTCTTAAAGGTGGTTCTAAAAATCAGGCAACCCCACACATGGGATTCGGTTTCCTTTTGGTGCCCTTGGAAACCCATCCAGGAAGGGTACCGAGCCTCAAAAACAGACACAGTCCTGGGGGTTACGAACCCTATCATGAGACTGCTGATATCGCCTTGTCCGGATCGGCGCGCAATCCAGGCCTGCCAATGCGGTCTCATGCGGGTGGGTCTTCTGCAAGGTGCCTGTTGGGGGGATTCTGAAGGGAGAAGACACATGCGGATGGACAAATTCAGCATCAGTTGGGATAGTTGAAGCCCCAGGAATCTGGAGAAACCACTTACCAACTAGTGCAAATGTTTGACAATCCCTAGAATGTTGGGTTCCTCTAGTAATTGAAGACACCTGTGATCAACCCAAGATGTTCTTCCCAGTTGCCACCAAACCCACCAGAAGGTTCCCAGCTAAGAGCGGTATCATCATGTTCCAAGCAGGCTGAGCCAACCAATAGAAGCAAGTCACAGTTGGTGCAGGCTCGGCGCAGAAACGGTGTTTTTGTCCTAAAAGGACAGAACTTTGGTCCCTCCAAAGTGGGACCAGCCGGATGGTGGGCAAAAGGAAACCTTGTAGATCACAAGCTTTTCAGTATCGTCAAGGGGCACATTCCCCTAGGCATGGATAAGTGGATAAGCAATGGAAGCTGAAAGTGAGATGCTTGATTCTTCCTAAACAGCAAAACAGAATTAAAGAACCCTCACAAGAAAAAACACCCGGAAATTTATTTGGACCTCTGTGGGAGAGGGTCCTCCCAGGGTCTTCAAAGGTAAGGCCCCCCACGTGAGCAATGGTCAACTCCTTACTTTTTGTCATGGTCATGGAGCCCCCTAACCATCAAAGCACGACTTCCTTAGCAGCGTCTTCAATAGTAACTCTTAGAACGGCTGTCTAACACCGACACCCCTGGTAAAGATGCCAGCTTAAGTAACGAAGTCTTTTGACATTGGCACACATGGGCTTGTCTCTAAACAGGTGACATTTGAATGGTCTTCGGTTTCCCGTTGCCTTTTTTGCGAAAACGACATCACCCCCCCCAAGCAAAAAAAACACAGACTTGCTGGTTCTCAGCAGGGAATAAAGGAATGACCCCTGCACCATCCCTTCTGGCTTCCTTTAAGGGAAGCCAGGACAGTTCATCCCCAAAACCCCTCAAACGCTGCTCTACCTATCGAACCAGCAAGAAACGCGACCACTTGGGTGCTCAAGCTGCTTAGTAACTAGGTTGCCACGGGGAGCAAACCCAGGTTGCTCCACTGGTAAAACCGCGGCTACCACCTACTCAGTGGTCAAAACATAAGAAAATGATGGGGGGGGTCGGTGATCCCTTAGAGATCAGGTTCCAGTTCCGGTGGCCAACTATGCAGGTTGTTGTTTTTTTCCTTTTTACTTTTTTTTAGGGATGCACGGATTCCCTTCGTTCCACTTCGGGTTGTCAGGTCCACAGCCGCTTCCCATTGAACATCCGCCTGGTGCGCTCCAGGCTTTCTGCCACCGCCTTCCGCAGGGTCGGGGAGCCCCCGGCCGCCTGAAACGGGGGGGGGTCCAAGCCATGGAAGCTCTGGCCGTGGGATTTTTTCCCGTTTTTTTTTTTTTGGCGCTGGGTCCAGGGGAGAGGTTAGAATAAGGGTACCCGATGTTCTTTCTGTAGTCTAGTTAGTAGGGGAACCCCTCCCCCAAAAAAGGGTAAAAGGGCACTGCTGGGGGACCTCGTTGGTACTTAAAATGGAAAGTTCCCCATAATGGCCAGGGTGTCCTTGTGGGTTGTGGTACCAAACAGAAGGGGGTTCGCCATTTTGACTCAGGGAAAGCTGAAAGGAATTGCCACTTTAGAAACGCCCATTGTTCGATTGGTCCATGCACTCAAACCCAGGGGTTGAAACGATGGTAGCTTTGCTCCTTGGGTTTGAGCCTTGGTCGTCCAAGGATGGAACCCTGGGCTGAAAGCCTGAGTCGTCCCCTGAGTCACGTGAAGGTAGGTTGGTTTTTGATTTCTGGGAGTTGACTAGGAAAGCCACGTTTGACACGAACCCAAATAGGTCTCAAGCCTGGTAGTCCACCCGAACCAATGTCGTTCCGCACCCGTTGGAACTGTCCCCTACGAACCTGAAACTAGCCAGGTTTGGATTGGTTCTGACACTGAACTGACATTGGTCAGGGGACCTGCTGAACGGCTGCTGATGAAGGAAAAAAGTTCCGATCGCTTGCACAGGGCAATCATGTTGCAGCATCCCCCAGTTTTGAGCCTTCACCTTTTTGGAGTACCGAAAACTGCAAGATTCTCAAAAAGTGTTGGAGGAGTTTGGAAATCCAAGCAAATAAAAACATGTCAAACAAATCTTGCTTGTTTGTTGCAACTTATAATTTGCTGTGGATCCATCATTCTTGAGGATCCAAACATACCTCCCGTGGCTCCAAGGCCAAGTCAACTTGCGAAAACATGGGTGATACGGTGGACGGACATGGCAAACCATTGTTTGTTGGTATTAATTGGGGAAATCACCACTCCAGGGATTCTTAGGTGGTGCAGGATTTCGTCCATCCACAGGGTTCCCGCTGGTGATAACCTCCCACTTTGGACTGAAAACCTCACAAAATGAACGGGTCTCTGCCCACCTCTGATTGTGTAAAGGGCAATGGCGCTCGTGAGCTCGAAAAAGGGGGAGCCAACCCCCAGACACGTTTTAGGCGCCAGGGCCGATCTTGTCGCTCCTGACATTGCAACGGCGTTGCTTGCGTATGAAGCGAAAAGCCAGGAGATCTTATTTGTGTGCGAAGTCCAATCTGAAGCTTCACAAGCAGTCAGTTTCCCATCGGCGGGAGGCACGTGAAGGTTTCCCTTAGCTTTTCAAGGCATCGAACCGCTCCGATTCGAAAGCCTCGTAATGAGTTTGCCCAGCATGTAGGGCTGACACGGCACTTGCCTCAGCCAACAAAATGAAACGCCATGTCGACACCGGATGGATTCAAACCTGGGGGATTTTTGGGGGAGGTGTTCCCCAAAAAAGGATGAACATCAACCAGGGCTGTTTTAGCTACCTGGGTTCCGATTGCAACGCCAGCGCTCACGGCTCTTTCTCGCAAAGGTTTGCTCTGCAAACCACCTATCTGTAGGAGGCCAGCACGTTGCCTCCAGGAAAGGTCTCTTTGTCGACATGGAACAGCTTTTGAAAGCTGTCCAGCTGCTCCAGCATCTTCTGGGTGTTCGTGTGGTTGTGCAAAACCTCACCCCCACTCTTCAACAACGCACGCAGGTTCTTCACCTCGGCTTGCACGCATATGTCAAAATAGGGTCACCCCGAAAAAAGGGTATCCTTTTTGGCGCCCCTGCAATCAAACCCCAGTCAGTGGAGCGAACAACCGTTGACCAAAGGGTCGAAAGAGGTACAATCAAAACCTGATGTTAGAGGAGTGTACACAACACCATGCGCACGACTCAATGGGAGGATATCCGCTCCAAATTTATTCTCAAACGGTTCTTCGGGTCAAGCCAATTTGGGCTGGTGGCAAGCCCATTTAGCCAGCCCTAGTGTGAAGGAAGAAGAACCCTAGTTTCTGACGCTAACCACAGTCAAATCATGACCCTAGTTCGGGAACAGTTTGGGTCAAGCTAATGTGTCCCAGCCAAACAAGCCCACACTGGGCGAGTTCTGCATGAAAAAAATGCACCATCACACACTGACACACAGACACACAAACACACACACACACACACACAAAGAAAAAAAGAAGAAAAGAGAAGGGAAAAAGAGAAAGAGAGAGAGAGAGAGAGAGAGAAACAAAAAAAAGGACAGGGTGGTTTCCGCAAAAAAAACAGAAGAGACAGGGCGGTTTCCGCAAAGGAAAAAAGAGAGACCCCCTTTGGGGGTGCACCGCCCGAGTCACGTCCTCACCCCGCAGCACGGTGTCGGTGATGTCGATGACGATCACGTCGAAGCGCCGCTTTTGGGCCGCCAGCGCCTTGATCGCCTGCCGCGCCTCCTCCACCTTCACCTCCCCGTGGCGGATGGACGCGAAATCCATGGGGGTTGATCCATATTGCCCCCCAAATGACCATAAGACAACTAATGCAATAAATCGCAGCTCCTAAGAAACCCATGGAAAAACCATGGTTTGTCGGTATTACAGGGGAATCATCATGCCAGGCTTGATGATTCCCCAACATAAATATCAACAAACGGTATGGTTTCAACCATGGCTTCTCAGGTGGTGCGATTCATGGATTTCGCAACAATCCACGGTATGGGTATGGGTCGAGAACAGGGCAACCCCAAAAATGGGTTACCCTGGTACATAGAAAGGACTACAACCTGCGGTGACCTGCTGGTTCAACTTTGACCCACACCCAAGTGGTCACAATTCAAGGGTAGCCCTTCTTCAGAAATGCTCGAAGGGAAACCAAAAGAAAACCCATTCATTTCATTTCGGTGGTCCCCACCTGGCTGGTCTCAAATTGCCAAAATGGGTTTCTGTTGTTTTGAGGGTATTTTGTTTGGTTGATTTGGAGGCAAACCAAAAGGAAAACCACCATTTCCACGGTTCCCCTATTCTGACACAATCCCATAATATCTGTGAAATGATTAAAACTCCCGTGAACCACTGTCGACATTCATTCTGTTTCCAGAGCTTGCACAGGACTCTACATGTGTCCGCCTTTTCACTCACCTCGAAATGGTCACTGCAAAGGGGCGGAAGCTGCTTACTTGAGCCAATCTCCGTGAAAACGTCAGCTTGCCTCTTGTCAGTTGCTCTGGTTAAAAATCCGCAACCAAGGCCGCAACCCCCGCAAAACGCGAAAATCTTAAAAAAGACCCACCCACCAACCCGCCCGCCCACCCACCCACCCAAAAAATAAGAAAGTCGAAACCCCCAAAGACAGGAAACTGCCCTGCCCCCCCTGCTCCCCTCTTCCCCCCGCGGATCCGAAACGGCGCAAACCGCCGCCCGCGCCTGGCCGTCGAACCCGAAGAAGCGCCGCGCCGCCTCCACCACGGCGCTGGAGGCCTCCACCGTGGTGACGTGGGAGCCGGGGCACTGGGCGGAGAGGAAGCTCTGCATGGTGCCGCCGCCCAAGCCCAGCATCAGCACCTGGAGACTCGGCGCTCAAAACTTGGAGGGTTTTGGCACCAGGGAGCCGGTGGGCGGTTCGGGTCTGACGAGCGAACCGTCCTTCCGAAGGGACCAAGTAAGCAAAACCTACGGGCAGCGAAATGCAAACGGAAGCCTAATGGAAACAATGGGTTTCATTGAGGCGGAAGTCCCCGATTCTACATACCAGAACGGCAACGCCCTCCAACTAACTACCACTGTGGCTTCCATTTGTTTCCCTAGATTCCTTTAGGGTTTTCCATTTGCTTCCACAGACGAATGGAGGCCACCACCTTCCAGCCGCTTCGTTTCGCTTTCCGATCCGCTCCTCCGGCTTCGCCGAAGGCAATTTGCACCGGGCCCGGATCTTCTCCAAGACCTTCGCCACGTAGGGGAAGGCCTCTTTCGCGAAGTCCGGGTCCAGGCCGTGGCACTTCCAGGCCTGAACTGGCTTCCTTCTGGGAAAGGCGTGCCAGATTTTTACTAGGAAGCCGCCAATTGGCTGGTGTCTGGGAAGTCTCAAAAGGGGTTTTCGCAAAGGAAACTTGCTGCGACCGTGAAAATGCAACTTGATGTGGACCCAGAAAAATCCGCCGAGACCCGGCGCCTTCCGGATTTTTGGGTCATCGCAGCGGCCCACCAGCAGTTCGGGCGCCTGGCCCTTGCACCTCACCTCTGATTGCACAAAGCCGTCCGTGTCCTTGCCGTCGAGAATCAGCGATCGCTTGTTGTCCGCGCTGACTGTGACGTGCACTCGCTCGTCACCCTGCGGACCTTTCAAACCAGCAAAACGCGAAAACAGAAAAACGGTGAAGAGTTTTGCTGGGTGGGAGTGTGTCCTGCAAAAAGCGCAAATACAAAAACACCAAAAAAAACACTCAAGCGTTTGCTGGGGGGGAAGATGGATTAACAATATCACTTGCGGTTCATTTCCGTGCTGGTTTCCGTGGGACAGGGGTCATTTTATTCCCACCCAACCATCGCACGTACAATTGAGGGAAAACCCCAAAAAAACCTTTAAACACTGTACTGGTTTGATCCGTACAACAAAAAGGTTTGAACCCTGAAGCAGGAAGAGCGCGCAAACTATGATCTGCGTTGATAAACATGCTTGTTTCTCTATTTATTTATCTATCTATTTACTTGTCTATTTACTGTCTATCTCTCTTTTGTGCAGCCCAAAAAGGCAAAACTCTGCTTCGCCAAGGTTCCGTCGCAGATGCCCAGCCCCAGGCTGCGGCTGGCTGATGCCTCAAGTATCGGGTCCGCGTCCAGAAACGCGGCCGCGCGCACGGCCCGCGGGACGGGCCGAAGCAGCGGTGCCGAAACCAGCCAGTCGTCGAAAGCATGGCGCCGCATCCCCGAGACTCTAAAGCCAACTCAGGTCGGCTGGTTCCTGAAATATTTGCAAGGCAACAAACCTTCCAAGTTACCACAATTAGTGGTTGGTACTTCCAAGACTTGGGTAATGAGCCGTGTCTCCACGTGTTTATGAGGGGAGACTCCCAGCTTTGTCAAAGCCATCCAAAAAGTGAGGGGTCAAAGTCAACCCACAGCAAGAAAAGGTGCCACTCACTAAAAATGAAGAGCAACAAAAAGCAAGAAAAACTGAGAAGCGCCTGGATGGATTGCTCCAAAATGACATTGTCAGTTTGTTGCTACTGGCTCCAGGGTTGGCTGCAAAATGCTCAAACCAGGCCTTGGCCCCCCGGGAAACAACAGGTTGGCCAACACAAATTGGTGTCAAAGATGTGGAAGCAACACCCCAACCCTGGCTCTTCTTTGGCTCATGGAAGGGCGGCGTGCACTCCCTGCCAGCTGGTGCCAATGGCTGCAGTCGAGTTTTCAACTTGGGTCTTCAACCGGCTTCGCAGGTAAATGATACCCATGATACCCATGATACCCACCTGCCTGGACACTGCAAAATTGACACGGAGCCGCAAGAACCCTTCTTGGACAAGTTTCCCCTTTCCGGGGTCCATGTCGGACTCGCCTTTGGCACGGGGATCAGCTCCAGTTCAGCTCTCGAGGTCAACCACCTGGGGCCTCGACCGTGATGTGCGGCGGCGTGGCGAAGTCTGGATCGCCCACCTATCAAAATGGGAACGTGTCGAAAAAGGGAGACGCCCCAAAATGGACTTTGATGTTCCATGTGGTTTCCCAACAAACCTGGAAAGGGCCCAAGGCCTCAACAAAGTGGGGAATCAGTGCACCCCCTGGATTTGTGTGGGAAGTTCGTGCGTGCCCCTCGGTTTCTGGCAATTTGGTGAGTGGCACGAGAAGATCAGGCAACGCACACTCCTTCTGTGGCCAAGGTCATGGTTCCCTGTACCTGTATGGAGACGATTGCAGTGGTTGGCTACTGTGGATGGACGAAATCCTGCACCACCTAAGAACCCCTGGAATGATGATTCCCTTGCAAATGCCAACAAACAAGGGTTTCCCATGGTTTTGAAATGGTGCTGGCTTTTGTCCATCCACAGTATGAATGGGTTGATGATCCTCCTTATGGCACACATGGCGTGCATGGTTTCCGCCTCCATGCGGATGATATCTCGGCCAGACTTCTGCAGAGCGATGGCCTTTGCCACCATCCTTGGTGTTTTGTGGCACAGCGCTGCCCCGCAAAGGAACGAGGATCCAAAAAAATCTTTACGGGAATCTCCTTTTGCCGCGGGGGGGGGAGGGGGGGGGGGGAACGTTTTGGGCTCCATGTTAATGGGCAGGTATTGCCCATCAGCATCACGCAACTCCGTGTTTTTTGACACCCTCTCTCTGGAAATCCAGGACCGGGTCCCAAAAGGACACTCAAATCGGGGGGTCCAAAGCTTCATTTTCTTCCAGGAATCGGCCCAGGCAAACCCTCCACGCCGCCCAGAGATGCTTGATTTTACCCCCAAAAGACTTACACCCATACATACCCATTTGGGTATGGCTCAAGATTAAAGAGCTGGGGTTACGCGGGTTTCATTCTTTGGTGCCATTTACCAAGGTGCCATTTTGGTACCACTTTTTCGAGCCACAGCCATTTGGCAAACACGCCACCTCGCCGAGTGTCTCAATGGTGCCTTCTCCCCGCAGAATGCCGGCACGTCGCGCCAGCGCGGCGAAGCCGCGCCGCCGCACCTTGCGCCGGCGGGGCGTTTGTGGAGGTGTCTCCGAATGGGGCACCCCCCGAAACTGGCTAAGGTCTTGGGTTCCCCCCAAAAACAACACGCCCCAAAGTGGCCTGGCCCAACAAACCATCTACTCTCTCGCAAGGCGCCCTCAAAACGAAACACACCCCATCTGGGGAATTAACTATTCCCAAACTGGTAATACGGAACCCCAAGACTTCATGGGGCCTTAGCCGAGATCGGTCAGCTCTTTCAAAAAAGTAAACCGAAAGGACCTAATTTCGGCTTTTCCGCCCTTGTGATTTGTCCCTTGGTGGGTCCGGAGCAACCCCATTCATCTCTCGAAGCAGCTCCCGCCTGCGCCAAGTGCTGGGACCGCCATGCCAATGCGCGCATAGGGCGGATCGAAACCCGGACGAAGCCGATCCAGGTGACACCAGTCCCAAATGACTACCGTTATCGTTGTCGTTCGTTCCAGGACATTTCCTCCATCCGCCAACGGGTTCGGAAACCGCTGTAAGCGTGTGGCAGGTCCTAAATAGTTCCCATGCCAAAAGGACGGATATTGTTTTCCTTGAATGGCCCGACACCACCTGATCCACGTAGGCAATTCCAAAACATGGGTTATCCTATCACTGGCGGCCATGTTTCCAGTGCAGAGGATGCAGCATGTCCAGTTGCTGGTCGATTTTGGGCATGGCTAGCCCCAGACCCAAGTCTTTCCCTGAGAGCAACAAGACCAGATCGCATCTTCAGCTTCTTGACTTCCATGTTAGGGCTCAAGAATCGACCTATGGGTGTTCTGAGATTCTCTTTTCGTGTCTGGGTCAAAGGGGCCCTGACTTTGGACATCTATCCAAATCCGCTCGCGACGCGGGGTTTGAGCCATGACAAAGGAGCATCGACCAGAAGGGGAATCGGCTCTTGATGGGGATACAAACACGTGGCTCTCGCTAACCCTCAAAATCCCCCCCTCTTCCGAAGTGCTGTGTTCTTTCTCCAAGAAGTCAATTTTAGGAATCTGGGCTGTATCTGCTGAAGCATTTTTGGATCCCGGAGGCAGAGTCATATTTAGGGATTCCCATCCATGACGAGTTTCCATCTTTTCGGGGAAATCCCTGGTTGCTTCTACTGTTGACCCCAAACGGATTGTACAATTGTACACCTGGCCAATTTAGAGCTTAGGGTCACCGCCCCATTCTCTTCACCAATACTTCTGTTCAGATACCATCCATGTCCCTTTGCTGTTGGGAATTTGTTGAAGAACACATCTGCTGGACAACATCACAGACATGTACAGCTAGACGTTTGGGTTTCAAGTTTCGGCAACCAGTTCTCAGCCCAAAAGATGTTCACCTGACATGTCCAAGTTCTTGAGATTTGACTTGGGGCAAAAGCTTTGGCTACGGCTCCACCGCCAAACACAGCGGCCAGTTTGGACAAGAATCAACGACAACCAAAGGGTTCCCGAAAAAGAGTCCATGCCCTTTCAATAGTTGCCACAACCTCCCCAACAGCTTGGTGTAAAGAAATCCCAAGATGGGAGCCTTCGGGTTGCTCACGCCCCCTTCCGTTTTGGCAGCACCCAGCGCGCACCGCCGCACCGCCGCACCCCTTGCGGCCTCGCCTCGCGGGCAGGCGCGATGTCCGTCTCATCCAGGCCCAAGGCCTGCGAAAGAGACTTCAGCCGAAGGCGCTGAGAGCGGAGGCAGGGATTTGCTTGCTTAAAGGGTCCCTTTGGGGTTGACAGTTGAGGGTTTCAGAGGGTTGAGACTTGAGATTGTTGGTTGAGGGTTGAGGGCTTGGGTTGCAGATGGCCCAGGGGTCCACCTAGACTTGCCTGTGTGTGTGTGTGTGTGGGTTTCTTTAGGGAATGCGAAGGCACGCATGTTGGGCATACCCATGTCTTTGCGCTTCTACTTCAAAAACGCTGGAAAAGATTGCTTTCAGAAATGGAAAAAAGAGGGACACACACACACAGAGACCTGCGCCTGGGCTGGACATGCGTGATGAAGAAGCGTTTGAACTCCTGTTCCCTCTCAAAAAACTGAAAAAGGAGGCAAAAAGCACAAGCGGGAAAAACCTTGCGGCGAGGACAATCAACTCCTGAAAAGAAGGTGGGCAAGAGGGAAGAAGATGAAACGGTGGAAAGGTGTTTTGGGGTCGCACAGACGAAGCTAGGCACGGGGCATGCAGTTTGCCGGTTTGCCAGGCTTGCAAAGACTAGTTGAAACCAAAAACTGCCCAACTCCCGACGCGCCCGTCCGCCGAGCTTTCTTCATGAGTTGTTCCCTCCCCTCCCCCTTTCAACGTCTTTTCCCGTGTTGTCCGGCTTGTTCCCTTTTTGCCAAGGCTTTTTCCAGGTGTCCCGCTTCTCTGTTTTCCCTTTTTTACTTTTCCAGGGTCTTTCTGCCGCAGAAAAGCCTCCGCGCCACGGATGGAGACTTGGATGTTCTGAATCCTCTGGCTGTACTCGTCCCCCGCCGCCGAGCTGCCCCCTTGCGCGGGCCGGCTGAGTGATGCATTTTAAGCGACCAACACGACAGACTTGCCGCATTCCAAGAAAAGCCTCAAAATACGGTGCCCTTTCTTCAAGTAGTCCAGGCCCGAGTCCACCGGATTGGTTTCAAGTTCCAATGTGAGAGTTGGTTCCTTTCTGACGTGCAGTTCCCTTCGTGCCACCCGTCTGGCTCAGCCCGCCACCGAGCTGCCCATTGTGGAGGGCAGACATCCGCCGCTTGCCGAGCCCTGGCCCGTTGCGGCATGGGGCCCCCCCAAGACCCGGAAAAACCTGGGAAAGCGATCCCGAAAGCCATGAACCAGCAAGAAATGGAAGTCAGAGTTGGGCGATATGCTGAAAGGAACCTGCAGTTGAGTAGCTCATTCCCTACTGGGAATCAAGTAATTATTGTGGCTCCCTTTCCCCCTCCCTCGGCCACCTCTCACCCTCCTGGCCTGAAGTCCTGCGCCCTGCTTGTTGTGTCTGCGCCTCCCGGCTGTTGGGCCGCGAGTCGATGCCGATAGCCTCGGAGCTCACGAGCCGCCGCAAGTCGGGGGAGCCGCCCGAGACCCGAGGTGTCTGGGGAAAGGGCTCCCTATCTTCCTCTGTTTGGGTGACAGGGGTCCTTGTTTCCCCTTGTGGGGAGGCTTTCCACATCACACATCACCTCATCCCCCAAAATATGCCGTTCTTGCCCCTTTTTGAGTAGGTCAAATGTAGGAAACCCTGTGGAGCGGAGAACGGTTCTTGAAAACAAATGAGAAGGCAATCTCCAAACAACCGCCAATTCTGGGTTGGGTTGCAACCCCCGGTCTAAGAGAATCACAACGCTTGAGGCGGACAATTGAACTCACTCGCTGGCATTGCAATCATCAAAGTTGTGGAAATTGACCAGTTCTGTGACACCTATCACAAACGGCCTTCCGGAACACAATGTGTTTACTCAAAGCGGCGTAAAGTTTCCGGGTATCGCACAACCGGTTGCAAGATGATTTTCCTCATTCCCACAACCGTGGTATAACCTTCCCTGCGATACCAGGGACCGTACAACTACTTAGATTTCACCCTTGACTCCCAAAAGGAGAACACCAAATTGGGGAACACCAAATGTGGTTGCAGTAGTTTCCCTCTTGGCTTCCCTTTTAAATCACCAAACCAGAGCCGTGTTTTCCAGCAAAGAAACCCACAAGGCACCGTTGGTTTTGTTTTTGGAATCACCAAACCAGAAGACATGTCCACAAAACACCAAGGCCGTTCCTTCAGTGTCCTTTCCCTCAAACAACAAAAAGCAAAGTCTTCAGTTTCCCTCGGCTTCCTGTGGGTTCCCTTGGTTTCCCTTGGTTTCCCTTTCCTCCACTCTCAGACAAAAACCCCGATCCCACACATTCCCAAGCCGGCGGCTTGAAGCGCAGCCTCGAAGTTCGCCTGGCTCCTACGAGAGTCGCCCAAGGACCCCAGACGACACTCGGCGGTTGTCGTCTGTCATCCCCGAGCGGAAAACCGCTACGAAGCGGACACCTTAAAGGATTAACCCGAGGTAATGATTAAGGATTGCCTTTGAGCCCAGATAGAAGGACCCTCTTGGTTGAAGAGCGGATTCGGATGGCTAAGCATTCGCGCGTGACCCGCGGTCAACAAGACTTGTTTCCCAATGGCACGTGGGAATTTGGTGAGCCCTCACCACCGTAGCCTGCAGGAAATTCTGACCAAACCTCGATTGAGCGGGGTCCGCCATGTCATCACATCTGGTGCGTCTGTCTTTTGGAGCCACAACCCTTATTGGAAAGACCTTCCCTTATCAACAAGTTGATCACCTCCTGCAAGATCAATCAAAACGCCACCTGTTTCCAAAACAGGCCAGCTGGCACCAACGCCCTTCCATCTTGAAGGTTGTTTCTCATTTCGTGTTGCAAGTCATCTTTTGTGGTGGTTTCCCTGTAAAGGAGCTGTTGATCAACCCCCACGTCCGCTCCTCAGTCTCACTGCTCTAAAGCCGAAAACCCGACCTCCGGTCCTTCGCCGCTGCTGCAGGGCCGCTTTGGCGTTCAAGGCCGGCTGCTCGTTCGAATCGCCGGCGACGGCTTCGATCACTTTCATGGCGCCGTTGCAGCGCTTGATCTCAGGCGAGCGCCAGCTTCTCCCCAGCTGGAAATCGCATGGAAGCAAAATGCATGAGGCGTTGTTGGGGTTCCATTTTTGTCTGCCACAAAAATGACCATGGCGACACGGACTTGGGTGACGTTTGATTCCTGCAAGGAAAAAACAGGAAAACACACACACAAACCAAAACAAAGTCTCATTTGACTGATCCGTTGGTTCCATCTGTCCATGCCTTGACTGGATCGGTTTCATTGATCGGCAACTTTAATAGTTACACTATGCGGCAGTGTAGAACGTACCCGACCCCCCTTTTTCCCGTGGATCTGACGCTCCGCACACACACACACACACAGAGACACTCACAGATAATTCCAATTCTGCCGAGCGCCCTGAGGAGTGGGCTGAATCCAAGAGCATGTCCCGGGCAGACTGCTCGATCTCCTTCTTCAATTCCTGCTTCTTCCCAGAGATGTTCGGATAATTGTTGAACAAATCGCCTTTATCACTTTCTGCATCTTCTTCGAGGCGTGGTATATTGCGAAAAGGACACTGACCATGTGGACAGGATCCCGGATGTGGCAACATACCCATGATCATTCCGCGAGGGTCCACCAAATGACACCTCCATTGACGCTGGAAACCGGTGAAGGTGAAAGATGGCAAACAGAATCTCCTGGCGGGGACCGCTTTTCGAGTTCCATCAAACCTTGCAAGGGGGCAAATGATCTGTGTTCATTCCTGACATCCGCCTCTTTTCTCCTTGTCTTCAACCCCCAATTCGAAAGATGTGGCCCCCAGCTGATGGGAAGAAGAATGTGCAAAAGAAAGGCCATTGGCTGGGCAGGAACAACACAAGTTCTCAAACACCATTTAGGTCGAACCAAAGCCATGTCGAGCAAATCTGCAGCCGCTTCTGGTCTGGCAGAAACAATTTCGTCCCCATTTCTCAGAACCAGCCGCCTTCTCTGCGTCTGCCACCAGCTCCGGAGGGATGCCTCAACGCAAAGGAAGGGGCTCCAGACAGCAACATCGCTTCAACGAATGGCCTCCCACAACGTGTTTGTTGGAGACATGGTTTCAAGGGATTAACCGGAGAGGAAAAAAAAGCCTTGGGTCAAGACTACTCAGATCTCCATCAAAAACCATATCTAGTGCTGGCCAGGCCTGTCCAGCTCTGAGACAACTGGGGCAACAGCCCAAGCTTAGCTGCAGCCCAAATTAGCCCACTCCAGTCTGCAGCCAGCCACGCCTTACAAAACTCTGGGAGCCACTCCCAGCCACAAGTGCCAGTCCAGCCAGCACCCCAGTCACCCATATCAACCCACCTGCCCAGCCTAGCAAGCTTTGCAACGCCAGACAACGTCAACTAGCCTAAGTCAGTCCAGCCCAGTCCAGTCAGCAGGGCGCAGACATGAGGGCCGATGCCGAGCCAATGTGGCTTGTGCGCCAAGCTACTTCGGCCCTTGACATCCGAAACAGTAACTTGTTTGTCGGAGATGTGTTTGTGCAGCTACCTGTGTTCTGATTCTTGCTTTTTGCTTTTTTGGTGGTTTCTTGGAATTAAGAAGAGTTGGTTTCAAGGGGCACAAAGAGCAAAACCACCGACTTGGCGGGGACCGTCCCACTTGGAGACAATCTGAAATGGCAACGAAATCCGACGGTTGGAACCCGCATCGCAAGTGGTTGGAGTGGTGGCAAGTGTCTGCACACCCTGCCTGCGCAACCCTTGGTCGATTAGCAAACAACTGTGCTCTTTGCAGCCCGCCACCACACATGAACAGAACCAAAAATCAAGCCAGACACAACAACAAAAAACGTCCACCGAAAAAGGAACAAACCCAAAAACACCAGAAGAAACACCAAAGGAAAAACAAAAAACGTGCCGAGAACAGGGAAGCGTTCTTGGCCTCCTCCAAACCTCCCCCCCCCGCCAACCTCCGCGGCTGGGCCCGCGGCAGTTGGTGAGCACCTGCTGCGCCAGCGCCTTCGCGGCCTTGATGGCCACCTGGCGCGAGCGGAAGCCTCCCGCTTCGGGGGCTTCGGGTCTTCGGAGTTTCGGCCCAAGTTGCTAAGCGCAGATTCGGAAAACCCATAGGCTGCTCCATGCAAGAGGTAGCCCCGTCCGCTTCCTTTGAGGACAAGCTACAAAAGGGAAACTTCGCACACCCGAGAAAAAGATAAGCTTGCATGCCACGGGCCGGGATTTGGCTTTTGGGAGGAAAATAAAGGGACCGCGTAATGGGAACCGGAATGAACTCATGGTTGACTCTGATGGGGCAGGTGCTCCATTTTAATCCGGATCGCTGTGTGAAGCACACACACACACACACACCACACGCACCCCTTACAGCAGAAGTCACCGTTGGTTCGCAAAAAAAAAACCACTGTCAGGAAAAATGCATGCGACGGGTGCAATGTGTTGTTCGAGTACCCTCTTAATTGTGAAGATGCGGGCCCGAGGCAAAACCGCTGCATCTCCATGTTTGCCGGGGTTCATATCCTGTTTGGAGACAACCCCCGTCTTTCTAGAATTGCTACTTGTGTCTGGAAGGAGAAACCAAGAGGAAACCACCCATTTGGGGGGTTCCCGTGCACTTGTTTGTTGAAACATGTCTTGCCCAACCCTGGTTCACACCTTGTCCAAAGCTTGGGGTTGTCTCATAGAAAAACCCTCACAACGGGTGGTTTCCTCTTGCTCTCCCATTCAATTACTGACTCAAATGGCCCTTATAGGAATCATGCTTTTTTCCACAGTTTTGGTTCCCTTGCAAGGGGCCCAAAGGCCCCATTGGGTTTAAGCCATATTTGCAACCAACCCTGCAACCCTTCAGGTACACCCTCTTCGAGTGCACCCTTTCCCCTGAGCCACCTGGAGTGACACGATCTCCCGGCCCTTGATGGCTTCGGACAGACCTTGGGTGCCAGCAATCGACACCGCCTGTGGGGGGGGGGGGAGTAGGTTCCTTCACAACTTCCATGGTGGGAGTCGGCAAACGGATGGATACTCACCAAATGGGGAGTGTCTTTTTTGAGCGCGCCCGTTTTGGCCTGTGCTTTGAAGGAAAACCAAACGGAAATTCATCCACTAGAGATAGTCATCCATCGATGCAGTCAACACGGTTTGCGCGTCATATTGCTGGGTTCCCACTTACCCATGCTTGGTAGAAACCACCAATGTTCCAACGAAATGTTCTCATTGTTTGAAGAGATTTGGATCCCTGAAGAGAATAGAAAAAGGGGCACGAATAGACAAAGGGAATCTTCACCTCAGGCAAACAATAGAGAGACAATGTTTGCTTAAAGATCCACTCTTCTGGGGATTCCGCTTTCAAGGGGCCATGCCAACTGTTAAGTCAACTGAACCCGGAACAGACAGTTGGTTCTACAAACATGGCTATAAAGGTTTATGTAGGCTCTACAAAACTGCAACTAAACCAGGTAGGAACCGAGCCACCTACTGAAAGGGCCGCTCAACTGACACCGGGCAATTGGGTGTGAACTTGTAATGGAGACCCCTTGGTGGACACCAAAATTTAAACTCCAACTCCTGAAACTGTATAGCCAATTTCTTTGCGCGGCCGTGCAAGAAGCTCGCAAACCCGCGGCTGGTCAACCCGAGGTGTCCAGCTCTCGCAGGAGGCTTCTTGCTGCTCCAGCTCGGAGATCTGCTTGCCTCGGATTCGGTCACTTATGGGTGCGTTTCCTGGACCCATTTTCAATGGCGATGGTCCTTTTGGTTTCCGTTAAAACCACAAAAAATACCCTCAAAAAGAGACACCCTTGTCGCCAAAGGGGTGCTGGGACAAGCGGGAAAGGGAGGGCGGGCTGCTTGCTTGAAAACCTGGCCGTTCCGCAAAGAAGCGGGGAAAAAAAAACTTGGTGAGGGAGCTGACAAGACTGCGAAACTGGAAACCGTTTTGAGGTGCCTCTCGGGGATGAAGTTTAAAGGCAAACCAAACAACAAAAGCATGTTACGGGTGCTATTTTGTTGGACACATTCGAAAACAGGTGTGTCTCAAAATAGCGGGCCCCACAAATGATCGCATTCCAGTTCGTGTCACTGACAACCAAAAGGGGCATTACAATGACCCTCCCACCGATTATTATGGAACCTGACAGGGGGTCCCTGGAAGACCATTTTGCCGTTGAAGCGGACCCCATGTCAGGTTCCATGTTAATTGGTGGGAGGGTACCAAGTACAAAAGAGATGCCCCCAAATTGCCGGGATCCGCCCCCAAGGCAGGCACGCGCATCTGCGAGATCTTTGTCCTTCAGGCCTCGCATCCGAAACTCACGCATGCATGCTCAGTCGGTGCACAAACTCAATGAAGCAGGTAAGAAAGCTGCAACAGAAATGATCATAAGTAGAAGGCAATCTGGACCCCTTGTAGAGGCGAGAAGTACCACTTACTCAAAGGCGATTGTGGCAGCCTAATCACCGTAAAACAAGAGATTGTATTTCTCACCTCCCCTCCAAGCCCTCCAAATTCACCGGTCAAAATGCCCGTCAGCCGGGGCCAGCGCCGTTCACTGAGCCAAGGTTGACGGCTGCTCTCAGCTCTTGCATGTTGGTGCTGCCGTAGAGCTGTGAAAGGCGCCTGAAACAGACATGCACATGCAATCAGAACAGCGAGGGCTCGTCCCCCAAACAACTCAAGTCTTAATCACTACAAAGCAGGCATTGAAAGAAGCGGCTTCAATAGAAGGGAACCAAAGGGTGGCAAATTAGCACCGCTCGCAGTTTTCATGGGTCTGTGCACCTATCCAGGTTTCAAAACAGTGGGCTACGACTACCCTGATCGCGTTGAAGAGGATCGACCGCACGGTCAAATGACTTGTTGCCCAAGTGGAGATGGGAAAATTCTTGCAAACCATGGCTTTTGCGGAGAAACGTAGAGCTTGGCCCCATGTCCCGAGCCCCAAGTGCACCAGAGCTCGCTCGGCGCCGCACTTCCGCAGCTGGATCTTCAGCTCCTCCTCCTTGATCACTTCCGATGCCTCGCACGAGCCAATCTCCAGTCCTTTCTTGGCAAGCCGTGCTCATGTCCAGAGTCACTCACTCCTCCCCAGGGGAAACAGCCGGTTTTTGAAAGGAACGATGGTTGAAAAGAACGGGGAATCAACCCCTAGAACTCCCTGTTGACCCCTAAAAGGCAGCTTCATCTTGGGACCTTGACTCAAAATGGTTGCAACAAAAGGAAACCCAAAAGCTGCAATCATGGAGGCTGATGATCGGATGGTTTGGGAATGCGACGTTCCTTTCGGGGAAGCCTGAAAACGTCGACCTCTATGATGTTTGCAAGAGGGCAGTGAACCCCAGGGGCAAGCACATCCGAGACAAACTTGGTGTTGAATTCCATGATGGTTGGAAAGACGAGCTCCCTGTACTTCCCCCTTACAACAGCACACCTACCAAGGGAGACTCACCTTGAGTCAGCCAAAAAGGTGATGACTATATGATGGTTAAACCGAAAAGTGAAATAACCATCATACAATCCTAAATCGTATAATCATATAATCATCATCATACACCATAAGAGGTGTGTCCATTTTGGGGGAGCCCTGTTTTTCGTGGGCTTACAGGAGCAGGCTCCTCCCTGCCTCGGCGATCGCCATGACTGATAGCCCCACCGCCTGACCCGACGATAGCTGAAGCCCATGCGTGCCGCCCACGTGCCGCCTATTTAAAATACGTGTAGGTCCCTTAAAGAGAGCATTTACACGGATTCACAACATGACTGTTTTGGATGGATTGGCTGTAAACCAATTTAGAGGGTAGCTTTGAGGATGTCCCTTTCATGGACACTGAAATAGGCCCCTGAAGGCAGATGGTTCTTTTCAGCTTCTGTTTAAATACCAGCCCTTTTGTTTTGGGGGGCTCCCCCAAATCTGTCAATAACCTCAGAAAGGAACTTCACCATGATGTTTTACAAGGAATACGCCTGAAACATGCTTGATGGGTACCGAAGCCCGCCCATGTTGGCATAACGTCCACCAACAGGTCCAACCAATGCCCCCACAATTGAAATCCCACGAACAGATTCGGAGCATCCCACCCCCTGCCCCAAAGACACCCGAAGCCTCAGAGGACGTGCTTGGGGTGCGAATTCGAGTTTCGCGCGCGTCGAAGCGGCGGCTCCCACGACTTCGCGCCTTGGCTTGGTCGATGGCCGCTTGCAGCGTGGCGATGTCCCGGAGCTGCACCTTGAAAGCTGCTCCGAAACTTCCGAATGGGGAAATATGGAGCAAGTGGGTCAATACGTACCCCCAATGAAAGGCCACTGGAAACTGGAATGAACCAAAACCAGATGTCCGTGTGTCCGTGAAGCCCAAGGGAAAAACTGCCCTTTCGCCCCCATTCTTCGGGCTCCCTGTGTCGACACGCTCCAAAAACATGTTGGCTTGCGAGCAGAGATCCCTCAAAGACGACACGTGGGGTTCGACTTCAGGTCGCCACGGCTTCCTTCAGCTTCGCCCGGGCCTGGACCAAAAGGGCCCCGCGCCTTCACCCCATAAAGCATTCTATGAACGGCAGATTTGTTGTTTCTCCAACCCACCTCAGCTCTTGCCCAACATGAGATGTTCCGGTCCGCTCCATGGTTTGTGAACCGCGACATGCAGAAGAAGTTGAAAAGAGATCCCAGAGTTTGCCTTTTGGTTTTGGGGGAGTGAAAACATGCAAATCTGGACTCGAGAACCCACGACCAAATCTTTCAACGGCGGAGCTGCCGTGGGCTTGTACGCATCTTCCAGCTTCTTCTGCGCCGGGAACAGCCTGAGCCAGCGAAAAATCCGGACAAAACACGTGCAAGACCGAGCTTTCAGAACGGAACGAACAGATTGTTTCTCCAGGAAAGCTGCATTGCTTGAAGCGAGGTCATCCGCCAACTCTTGCTGTTCACGGGGATGGGGCCAAAGGAAATGAACGCCAAAAGATGTTGGGCAAAGATCTTGCTGATTCTCAAATGAAATGTCAGTTGCGCTTCTGAAAAAGAACAAACAAGACATTTGAGTCATACTGCAAACCTGGTATTACAGCGGATGTCCGCACGTTTTCACGGTTGTAACTCCCTACCCACTTTCCAACTGTGGAAGTGGACGATCTGCCATCCTCTCAAACATGCAAACGTCAACTTCAATGATTGTTGGAAGGAAGTACTTACGTCGACCCCGTTCTTGCAACAAAGAGCTTGCTAGGGGGGACTCCTTTCTTCTAGGTTGAAATCCTTCGTCTATCCAGGCTGTTGGGCTTTGACTCTGCCGTCTCCCCTCGCATCAGCTCGGCTTCGCGCTCCTCCTCATCGATCCCTGGCGCGGGAACCCCAAATTGCCAAAGCCCCCTGCTTTAGGCGTGTGAAAAAACGCTTCCAGGTGAACATATGGGCGAAATCACTAACCAGAACGGCATTTGTTCCAACTGGAGCTGAAAAATACAAAGCTAGTTGTGGGTTCCCTTGGTCGCACAAGCTTTGAAGCGGACGGGTCGCGACCCGCGCTACCTCTGGCGCAATTCGCTCCCTGCCTGCAGCAGCGGCCGCAGCAATGGCTGGCCTGAAAGGCCGGAAGACGCCCCACAAATCAGGGGACGGGTTTGCATTAAAGGACCATCATGTGGGTTTGTGTTTTGTTGAGGGGACCCTTTTTGCGGTGGTCTTAACGAGATGCCAAAAGGAAAACACCTCTTCTATTTCTTGTTGTTTTTTTCTGTTGTTTTTCTTCCAGGGGGCGGTCCCGTCACCCAAAGGGCAGAGACGATACCACCAAAGGGACCAAAGCGACGAAGGATGGACAAAATTAGGTACCCCTTCATTGATGCTCTTTGGGTTACCTTCAAAGCCATCCCCTATGTTCAACACACAAATGGCCATGATTGCAAAATACGGCACCGCCAAGGTGTTTGTTGGACATGAATTCCTCGCGACTTCTGATGTCCAAAGGGTCCCTCCCTTAAAATGTTCATACCCACATGGGACCCCTGAACATGCCACAGGAGAGCTGAACTGGGTGCCGCACCGCAGGGCATCAATGCTCCCCAGCTCCATTGCCTCTTCCAGCTGCTTTCGCGCGGTCACCTGAGCGCCCATCCCCCAAATTAAGACCTGTTCCCAAAAAGTGACTGGTCAGCTTCCCTTCAATTGGTGGCTTGGTTCCCATTTACCCTCTACAAGATCAAGGAGTTCAATTCCCAACCAATCCAAACCGTCGGGTTACTGGAGTCCAGGAGATCAGGCTGAAAGCAAATGGCCACAACTTCCCTTCGGTAAGCAAAATGACTGAGGTGTGCCATCTACTTTCGCCCAACTGCAAATCAAAAACCTTCTTCCGCCTCATGCCGCCTTTGAAGGGGCCACAAAACGGAGATTTGTCTAAATGGAAGATTAAGTGGCCAGGGGTTCCGTTTTTTGGCTATCCCAAGGGAACTTGTACCCACGGGTGTGGAAAACCCCTGAGTTAAGCTCTACCTTGTAGTCAAAGAATGGAGCGCGGGATTACCCACTTCTCTTGCAGTTAATCAAAAAGAAATCGGAAAAGAAGGCGATGCATACCCGTGTTATAAGTCCCCTAAAATGGTTTATAACCAAGGTTAACCAACTAAGTCGCCGATCTCCGCATGTCTGGGACGAAAAACGCGACCATCAACCGAGCGGTGCCTCCATCCGCAGCTTTTCGAGAACCCGCTGCGCCGGCTCCAGCTCTTCCTGGGACAGGCCTAAGGCGAAGAAAGAAATCCGATGGGCGATCCTTGGCTTTGAAGCTCGGTGCCCGGTTTTTGGGGTTGTTAAAAAGGGGAAGCCGAAAGGAAACCAACTTTTGTTTGGAGGTTCCCTGTGTTAAGAAACCCCTCTGTAACAAAACAGGGTGCGGGTACCGCAGGTGGTTCCGCGCCATGGCCTGTGACACCTGCTCTTGACAAACTGCGCATCGACCACGCGCGGCTCGAGCTTCCTCTACTTGCCCCCGTAGCCTTGGGGAAATTATTCACGTAGCAACTCTTTGTTAGAAAAGCTGGCCGCAGCTTTTGAGAAGCTAACGACGCTGCGTTGATTTCTGATGACATTCTGACGCAAGGGGCCTTTGTCTACCCAGGTTCTGCTGTCTTAGTTGTAGCCCCCTGATGGGGCTACCTGCACTTCGCTTCAAAACCAGCTCAAAAAGCTGGGTCATAGTCAAGAAGGGTCATACAGTAGTCAAGAAACCACTTATATGTTGCGTCGTGCTGTGTGGAGCGAGCAGAATCAGGCTGGACTCGTTTCTATTGGCACAAGCTGACATTGTGGCTCTCCACGGCGCCTGCTTCTCTTCCTTCTTGCACCGCTTCGCGCAGGTCATTGATCCGACCTTCTGCCGATGCCTCGGACTGATTGTTGAACCAGGTGTTCCGTGGGGGGTCCTGAAAAACAATATCCATCCTCTTTTGGATGTCCAAAGAAGCGTCCGAAGATCTGGGCAAACTGCCTTACCAGTGGAATTTGTGATCACTATTCAACCGCTGCCAGCAACAATTGACATATGTGCAAACCCGGAAGGTCGGGCGATTCAACCCCTTGCTTGCACATTCGGCGTCCAATTGAGGCGGATTCCCCCATCTCTTCACCCCAAAGCGGGAGGGAAAACAACGGCAGATCTCAACCCTCGAGGGCCAGTGCGGGCCAGGCGGTGTTCAAACCAAGTGTCTAATGGTCTCGAGACAGGATATGCAACCCAAAAACAGCGGCTCGGGCTTCATGCTGCAACCAGCATTCTTGGAAAAAATGCATCAAACCACAACATTATGCGAAGGACCTCTTTTCGGCTTCCCTTTACAGACAGAACGCGCATGTTCCGCGTCTCACGCCGTCTCGCGCGCCTTTTTGCCTAGCTTTGCATCTTTCAGCGCCACCCGGGCAGCCGCCTCCGGTTTCGAAACGAGCAACGCGCCGGGTCTGTGGAAAAGGGACGGCCTTCCGCGCATGGATCCCTTAAAGGAATCAGGCAAAAAGCCCCTGGATGCAGAAAAAGATGAAAGAACTGGCAAAGGTGGTTTTCAATTTGGCCTTAAGGAGCCCTGTTGGTCGCCTTGACCTTTCCACGTGGTTACCCTCGCACGTGCTAACATCGGGTGGGTGGGAGGTCCTGGTTTGGACAATGTTCTCACGAAACCCTCTGGCTGTCGGTGAGAGGGTATGCGGACAACCCAACACGGTATTTTCCAGCTATGTCCATTCCTCGAAAGCGTACTTGGCCCTGGCCACGGACAGAATGTGTGGGAACCCTAACGGACATAATTTGAGAGTCTTCCGGGTTTCCTTTGGGCTCATATATGGATTTAGAGCCCACTGAGGGGAGCGATTGCAGCCTAGTGACTAGCAATAGACGCGATTGGGCGCAACCTTTCCATAGCCCCCCTTGCAAGTTGGCGTAGGAAGATACTTGCAGCCCATGGTGCTCCTACCCAGAAACGCCTATATGAGGATGTGTCAGAAATGGAGGACCCCCGTCCCCACCCCACCCCCAAGAAAAAAAAAGTGGTTGCCTTTTGGTTTCCCTTTAAACCAACCTCATTAAGAGGTATTATCAAAAACACAGTCACACAACCCCATATTCACTTGGGCAACTGAGAAAAGGGGGTACTTCTTACAAACCTCTGCAAGATACTGGACTTCTCACAAACGGTGTTGCTCATTTGCTCTTGAGGCAGCAAAAAGGAATAGGGGCGGTTCTCAGAATGGTGGACCCCCCTTTTCGTGGGCTTTAAACGGAAACCTAAAGGAAACCATTTTAGGGGGCCCTATTTTGAGAAACACACAAATAACAGCCCTTCTCCGCCGACATGTCTCAAAATTGGGCCCAGAGGTTGTGATTTTAAAAAAACTGCCGTCACTTGGGACATCAGCCTTTCTGCGCTACCGGCAGTTGGCCCTCCTATGACTTCTTCAGTTTGAAGAGGATCATCTTGGTATCACAGAAGGCCCTAAAACCAAACTTGAGTGTGCTTTTTGGGGTACTCTGTTTACCTTGGTTGAAGAGGAAACCAAAGGACCCCCCCCCATTTGGGGGGGTCCCCTGCTTTGACACACCGTTAAAAGTAGATGGCCCATTTTCCCTTGGCAGAGGGAATGGTCTTTACCCACATAGCTTGGGACTGCGCCATGTGGCTCCCGCGCCTTCGCCTCCTCTTGCTCCAGGGCCTTTCGCGCTTTCTGCATCTCCGGCGGTTTGAGTCCTAGATCCACCCAACGCGAGAGGTTCTTTGTCTTTTTCGCCAGGGTAGAACAAAAATATGGGCGTTTGCCCCAGCCAAAACCAACGTGGGTCTTTGTGTTATGTTAAACGGGCAACTTCCCCATTCAATCCCAGGGATCCTTTCCAGAAAACCACCTAAGGACAGGAAAGTCCTATTCAGAAGGTGACACCTTGGGCAGCAGAGTCAACATGCGTGTTTCTTCAAATTGGGGTCCCTTAATTTGGTTGGTTCGGATTCTTTTTGGCTTCGCTTTGGATGCTGACCCACAGCGGGTCCACAAATTTGAGACATACGCATGGGCCACTTCTAGCGTGCAGAAACACCCATTTTTGGTTTTAGCTGGACAAGAGTTGCGGTGCACCCTCGAATCGAACCGATTGCTCCTTTTTCTTCCGTTTTTCGTTTGTACAGACCAAATGTGGAAGGAGGTTTGCAGCGATTTCCGGTCGTTGCTGTCCCTTCTCACCCGCGTACCAAAAAAAGTGCTGCTTGATCGCTTCGCAACCGCTTCCATTTGGATTGTCGTCAGTCAAAGTCTTTGGGTGTGTTGCTCGTTTCCCGACAAAGCAAAATCTCGGTGAGGACCAAAATGGTTCGCGGGTGCATGTCGAAGCACCTTCTCCTTGAAAGGAGATTACAACACTTTCAGAGATGGGTCTATCTCAATCCGGGGGACCCAAAAAATGATTGGCTTCCTTCCCCCTTGGACCAACTCCTTTCGTGGCCGCCTCATAAAAGGCACCCCGAAAGTCACATACTGACTCGGAGCCGACTCGCAAGGGGAGCCATTGCAGCCTAGTGATTATTGGTGAATCAGGGGGGCATGACAGTATGACGGGTCGGTAAAAGCAACCTTCTCATGTGTCCCTTGTTGTGGCTCTAATCAATACCTCAAGATGGCAAAGGGGGAAATGTGTCTGAAAAAGTCAAAGGAAGGAAGTGAATAAAAAAAGAATAACAACAACAATAATAATGATAATAATAATAAAGAAGAAAAAACAAAGATGGGACAACCTGGGAAACTAAGCCCCTTTGAGCGTTCCTTTTGAGACAAACCCAAACGGAACCGCTCCTGCAGCCTCCGCCATGGCGAGACTGGCCTCCAGCTTCTCGACAGAGGCGTCTGGCACAACCGGACGCGTGGAACGCCAGGCATGCCTCTGCTTCTTCGGAGGGGGAGCTGACAGCTGCTATCTAGATAGACAGATACATATAAATATACATATACATATGTCAAAAGATGAAGAAAAAAATAGACGGAAATTCACAAACAAATGTGAATCTGACGTGGCGTGGATGTGTCTGAAGTTGTTCCGAGCTTTCTTTTTCGGGTGGCTGGAAAATCTACATAATTCCATGGATATATGTTTCCAAGAAGTTCTCACTTCATTCGGAGGCGCTGGCGCAGGCAGCTGGTAATTTCCAACTTTGTGTTTGTTCCAAATGGAAATGAAATTGAACCGGGAATTGAACCTGTCCCCGAATCGCCATGAATCTTACCTTGCACCTTCTGGTGGGCATCATTGCCTATGACTGGATATATATATATATATATGTATTCCTTCACTGGGGGAGTGAATGCCGTTCCGCGGCAAGCCTCGCACCGCCAAGTCCAAGCTCTCTCGTGCGGCTGCCTGGCGGTTGATCGATGGATCTCACCATGCCAAAAGCCGAGAGGGACCCCTGGGGAAGCCAAAAGGAGTGGAACCGTGGGGGACCCAGGGAACCACCCCGAGCCTGTTTTTGTGACCTCCATTCTAGATGTTGAGATAGCTCTAAGTCTTCCATGTGTCATGTAAAACATCAAACCCCGCCACCACCACCGGCCACCAGGGCCCCAGGGCGCTCGCGACCATCACAAGCAGACAAATGGCGTCTTGTCCGGGTCAAAAGAACAGACTTCCGCCCCCCCCCCCAAGATAAACAAAACAAAAATATAAAGGAATTGAAAAATAATGGACTGCCAAAAATGGCAACGGGATCCTTTGCGTTTCACTTCGAACAACGGTGTTTCCCAAATTTACAAGAGTTGTGACAGTGGGAAAGTGGGCAAGTGAAGTAGTGGGCTAAGTGGGCTAAGTGGGCTAAGTGGGCTAAGTGGGCTAAGTGGGCTAAGTGGGCTAAGTGGGCTAAGTGGGCTAAGTGGGCTAAGTGGGCTAAGTGGGCTAAGTGGGTGGAAATTAGGACCCCCCCCCTCCCTCCCCCCGCCAAAAAGAAACAATGGGACAGGAGTGTCCTTTGTTTTCCCTACGCACCCATTTCATGGGTGGCTATGCGTCCCGAAAGAAGGCCCTCCGTAGCGATCCCTGCAGAGCAGTCTGACATGACTCGAACAAACCTGGCCAAATGTTAGGACACCAAGGGCTTCGTCACGCAAGCCTTCCTCTCCAGCAGGTCGAGCACCAGCCTGCAATGGGAATATTCGGACAGCAACCAGCGCAAGACATCCGCACCTGATCTGGACCAGCCTCAGTGCGAGAGCGCAGCTTCAACGTCAACCCAGCTGAATAGTTGAAGGGAAGCAACCTCCCAAAATACTATTGAGAAGCTTTGCTTTGCATCACCTTGATCACTTTGAAGAGGATTCCCTGGGGCACTCACAAATGGCCACGAAACCCTACTTTCCACAACCCTCAAAATGGGCTGGCTCAAAAAGGGTGAACGTCTTTGGGATGCTTGCCAAGGGGAGCCAAACGGAACAAGCCATTTCGGGGTCCCCTAGGACCCTCAAAATGCAGCCGCTTTGGGCCCAGTTCAGCCCGTCAACTGAGCTGGCTGCTCGGCTTCTTGTAGACCCAAATCGCTGGCGTCGTCGATGGCCTTACCCGCTGGCGAGCTCCGGTTGGGGCCCTCGACAGGAAGCACATGCCCAACTTCCCATTGGCACCTGGGACACGGGTATGTGTCAAAATCAGGATCTCAAGAAAATGGGAAGCTTCCTCTTGGTGTCCGTTTCAAACCAAGCTGAAGAGGGTCCCTTTCGCCTCGAAAGGCCTTTCACCGTCCGACTCCCTCTCCGCAAAACGAACGAAACCGAGGCTCGCCTGGCGCAATTGGCGGATGTCCCCGGACCGCCGGGCCTGGCGAAACGAAGCGGGCGTCCAGTTCCGCGCCTAAAGAAGATGCTTGCCACACCTCTCTTCTTAGTGGCGCGTGAATCCCTTGTTCAAAGCTTGCCTGGAAATATGTCATGGCACAAATAATAAGTCTCCAAGAAGCTCGAAAGTCCAAGGAACTGTATTATGGCCGCCAAGACTGAAAGGGAAAATCTCGGGGACGCCAACCCTCGCCGCCTCATGCAACAGTAGCCGTGCATCGCTCTGCTTCTTCACAGCCTCCAATGCCCTCTCCTGGGATCCAACCACATTGACATGGCCCTACTTATGTGGCTGTGGGTCAAAATATGTACCCAAAATGGAACCCTGGTACAACCAAACATGGACTGCAACCTGTGGTCCCCTGGTGGTTTATTTTTGACCCACACCCATGTGGGCAAATTCCAAGGTGGGGTCACAAACTGGAAATGAGGAATTCATCTGGGGGTGGTTTGCTCTCTCCTCCATTCGGCCAGCTCTTTATTATGAATGTGTCCAGGCTTTGTGGCGCTTGACTCCATTCGGGTTCGTCCCAAATGGTGAGCACTCTTCTGGTTGTTCACTGGGAATCCAAGCTATGAGCCCAATCTATCTGACCTTGGCTTTCATTAGCTCGGAGCAACCCAAAGTTGGAAACCAACTTAAGACCAAATCGAAACCATTCAAACAGACTCGGAATCCATGGCAAAAAGTTATAAGCCCCAGCTTTTGTGCGCACCTTTATACCCCCAGAAGTCGCTATGAGAGCAGACTCCTGTCCCTGAGGCTTGAGCAGTGACAACCATGAAACCCGTGACCGCCGCAACTTCTGCAATCAAAATCCCGATAAATGCAAATGGTTCAAATCCAGATTCAGGGGCACGATCACTGTCTTCATCTTGGTCCTACAACCAGCAGGCCTGGCCATAGCACAGCTCTATCTTGACTGCATCGCTGTTGTTCCCATCTCTGTGCATATAATTCTATTAATATACTTTCATATACACCTAGGTTTGCCTGCAATGGATTCTGTGTGCGCACGCGGAGACAGGAAACACCAAAGACTTGGGCACGGGCTGCTGCCTGCAGCTTCGACTGGCCTCATGCGACAGCCAGGGGAAGCTAAAGTAGCTCCAAACTTGGCTTGGTTTCCTTCTGTTTTCTTTGGTGACCAAAGGGTGGTACAAAGTTCGTCAGGAAACCTACCGAACCCAAGTAGGCCTATTCTTGAGGGTTGCTCATATTTTCCGAACGGCTCGCAGCAACCCAGGGTGATTCGGATATCGGGATAAAGTCCAAGGAACCGCCGGCTTACACCCGGGTGTGAAACCTTCCTCATGGGTGATTGAAATAGTGAACAAACATTATCAAACTAGAGTAAATAGAGTAGTGAGCAATCCATCAAAATTGAGTTTGCAACCCCGACAACATGAATTTACAAGTTTCGACCGCTAACTTGGGCTCAAATCCAAGGAACCGACTCACACCAGCTTCCTCCGCTTGATCAATGGCAATCCGGATCGCCTCAATTTCGCGGCTCGACCTCGGCGAAGTCGCGTGCGGGGCGCCTGGCTTCCTCCAAATTAATCTCTCGGGCCCCCTTTTCTTTTGGTTGAAAGCAGCAGTAAGAGCCTACAGCTTTATGGAGCCAGTGAAATTCTACAGGAGTTTGCCAAATCTCCGCCAAAAAGCGGGAGTTTTGGCAAAGTTCCTGTCGAAATCCCTGTAGCGGGTTTCTATGGCTTCCCCCGAGTTCACCCAACATAACAAGCTCTGGCCCAAAACCAGGACTGCAAGAACATGTGAAAGATCGCCTTAGGCTTGCACAGTGCCTTTTCCAGTCTGTACACAGCATCCGCCTGACAAAGGCACTACAAACTCACCTCCCCCGCTCCCCCGCTCGTGCGACCAGGCCTTGCGAGCTTCTATCAAGGTGTGGCGAGCATGCTCCAATTCCATTGGGTAAAGGGAGCATTCCTGGAGCACGTGCAGATGCAAGAAGCTATGCACATGAGCAACGGACATCCATATTACTTGCTAGTGGTTCATTCAAAATTCTCCCCCACGTTATGGGGGGTTGGATCAACATAGACCAAAATGTTACCTCCGGATTGATCTGGAGCACCATACCAGGGATGGTTTTCTGTGCATTGGAAAATTTCCAAATTTACATGGACTCCTTGGATTCGCATGGTCCTCCGGATTCATCCGAAGCGAACATTACCAACAGCTTTGGTGGGTCGCCGGCCCCCCCTACCTTGGCCGCACGTGAGCAGGCAAAGCCTTGGTTTAGGCCCAGGGTTGAGGGTTTGGATTTAGGGTTTTGGTTTGGTGATTGAGATGCAGGTTTGGGGTTTCGGGTTAGGGTTAGGTGTAGGTTCGGGGGGCGGCAACATTACAAGTCACGCGGCCTTTGGCCCAGTCGCCCTCGCAGAGTCCTCGCCGGCGATCAGCGCCCGCTCGATGTCTGCGATTCTGCGGTCGTGCATGGCCTCGGCATCGAAGCAAACATCCCGCCTCACCCAGCTGAGCTTTCGAATCGCCGGAAGTCACTATGCCCTCCCAAAGATCGCACGAGTGGATGAGGACAACCTATTCAATGGCAGAATCAAATGTTCTGAGTCAATCAAATGTTCTGAGTCGTACATCCCTGAAGTTTGGTATGGGTTTGGGGTTGGTCGGGGGGTGAGTCAGGTTTGGTTTGGCGTTCGGGGCATTGGCTCAAAAGCTAATTTGGGTAGACGCAGCTTTGGTTGCATGGATTGCTGGCTGAATTTAGGGTTGGCTGAGCCGTTTTGCAGGGTGCGGCTGATTTTCACGGTTGGTTTAGGGTGGGTGGGTCGTAGTTCTTGGTGCGTTCAAGGTTCTGTCGGATGGGTTGGGCTGTAGAAAAATGTTGCATGGAAAACTCGTCGCTGGTGGATTTAGGCAGCTGTGGCTTTCAATGGCGTGAGTGTCGGCTCCTTGAGCTGGGCAAAGATACCCTCTGGCACCCCCAAATTTTGAGAACGGGTCCCTCGAAACCTTCACTTAGGAAAAAGACCTCTTGAGAAGCCTCATAATGTGCAGCTTGAGCTCGACCCAGTTGAACTGAGGCGGGCTCACGCTTGAGGTTCCATCTCGCCTGCCTCCGTCTTTCTTCGTCCGCGACAACCTTCAACAATGATTCACAGATTCCGCAAACCAACAGACCCCTGCCTGCACCAATTCGGCCATACATGGCAAAGATGCAATGCAGGTCTCCGAATTCCAAAGCTCTTGCTCCGAGCTACCGAAGCCAGTGTTGAAATGCCTTGAATCCTGAAGCAACAACAAGCCTAGTGCCTGAGCAGTAAAGTGGTGGCTGACAAGCGAAAACCCCCATCGGTGAAATGAAGAGTTGTCAGATGACAACCGCAGCCCAATAACAACAAGTGATACCGTGATACATGTTACCTACAGGTTCGAGCCACATATCAGCAGCGGGAATCTTCATAAATCACAGATGCACGCCCTCCAACCCCATCCCTCTTCTAGAGGGGCAGGCAGCAGCGCGCGCGCGGCACCTCATTTGGTCTCCGTCGATGGGCTTCTGGAGGCTCAGGATCCGGGTGGAAGTCCGAAGCACGCGTTTTTGGCGGAGCGCTAAGGCCATTCAAATTCGCACCTTAAGATTTCCACGAATTTGCCGTCCAACTGGAAAATCCCGAAGCTCCAATAGCAACAATTGCTGCGGGTGGCGGTGGTGCCGCTCTGGTGCAGTCTCAGCCAAACCCACCCAGAAATGATATTCCGTAGGAAATGGTGGACACCAATTTGCATATGATGCACATATCAACTTCTGGCTGTGAATCCCTGACGGAAATCACATTGGACTGAGACTGCGCAACTTCGCAGAGACAGCCTTCAAAAATGCGTTCGTTCGACTGAGCAGGTTTTGGCCGGCGGCCAAACACTGCTGTAACACTAGAAGTCCAGGACTCATTTGTGGATTCCTTTCTTTGGACCCTCACGTGAGATTCCGCTTGGACACCTGTGGCCAGTCAGAAGTGTTCGCCTTGTTGCTGCGCCCTTCCGCCCAGCTTCCCTCCGAACTCCAGGCTCTCAGCTTTCCGGGCCCCTCGATCCAGATCCTCGATCTCGACTCCTCCAAAACGAGCGCCTGGATGTGTCTGCTTCTTCCGGCCCAAAAGCTTTCGACTTCTCCTTGGCCCAGAGAAAGCGGCCTCTGTCTCCTCCTCGGACCCGAGAACGTCTCGTGGACTTCTCATCCTTCCGACGCCGGCCATGTCCGCTCCCCGCAGCGGAGGAAAGCCAAGTCCAAAGGCCTCTGCGAAATGACCGGAAGGAATAGCCACGATGACAAGCGGGGCTACAGGGGTTCGTCCTTTGCAATGTTTACCAACATGATGTAAGGGCCCAAATCATTGCGCAGCATATTATGTTAGGATCATGAAAAGAGATGACTTCAAAGTACTGTACTCCACAACCCGGTCTTAATTGGTGCACGGTCCAAATCTTACATGTGGACAACATGGAGACTTGAAAAGTGGTGACCCAAGGAAAAAGTGGCTTTACAAAAAGCCAAATTCAGCCAGGTGGGAACCGATCCTTCTAAAATGACCCTTTTTCCTATGGTTGTTAAGGGCCCCCAATCCCAATAGGAACAAAAAAGCGACTAATGGGGTATTCGGGGCCAATGGGGTTCATTTTGAGCACCATGTCTAGCAGGTCCCCTTCTTTGGGGGGCCCTGACAACCATACTGTGGATGGACGAAATCCTGCACCATTTAAGAAACCCTGGAATGATGAACCCCCCGTAAATACCAATAAACAATGGTTTCCCCATGGCTTTCAAGTGGGTGTGGGTCAACATTAAACCACCAGGGGACCGCAGGCTGTAGTCCAAGCTTCCATTTACCAGGGTTCCATTTTGGGTACCAATTTTTGACCCGCAGCCAAGTGGTGCGAAACGGATTTCGTCCATCCACAGTAGGACTTTTGGGAGGACGTCTCGGGTGTTGCTCCTCCAACCCCATCTCCAGCCTCCGCCGCAGCTGCGCCGCCAGCTGCCGCGGACTCGCGAAGCCAAAGCCCAGCAGGCGGTCCCCCACCCCCACGCCCCGCGCGTGCCAGAAGCCCCGAAGCTCCGCCGCAATGTGCTGCACCTGACAAAACCAGGGCATGGAGCATGGGTTGTTCACCCTTTTTTTCACACACACACACACCTGCAAAGGACGGTGACGTAACATGGTATGGTGGATTCTGCTTTGCAAACTTTAAGAACAAGTACGGGCGATTGCGCGCGCACACACACACACACCTGCAAAGGACAAAATGGTATGGTTAATTCTGCTTTGCAGACTTTTAAGAACAAGTACGGGTGATTCCTTGAAAAGACTGCAACAAATATGACTTATTCCTTTTGACCACATGAGAACTCACATGTGCGGTGGGCTAATGCGTTGGAAAAACATAAATACTGCAAATGTTAAACGGAGAGAAACAAATACATAAATGGCGTTGGTCGTTCCTTCGAAAGGCATGTATGGCTGACTTCTTAAAGAACCGCAAAAGGTCTGATTTATTTTGCTGGCACCGTGGCTGACAAAGCCAGCCCCGTCCCTCCTGCCGGTAAAACAAAGGCACTCCTTTCAAGCCAGCAACCAAGCAGCTCGGCTCCCCATATTTCTCATTCAAACATCTCCCCAAAAAGAAACCCACTTTACATTGGCAACCAAAAGGTGATGTTTACAGCCAGGAAAAGGGGAAGCCCTGAAACACCCCGCTGAGACACCTCCAGCCACCCTCAGCCACCCTCAAAACCCCTCTCCGTTGCGCCTCCGGCAGAAAGCCCCAGGCAAAACAGAGCCCCAAGGGCCCGAAGCCGCTGTCCAGCTGGACAGTGACCTGCGGTGGCTCGCTTAGGATCCGGTAAGAAAGATTGTTTTAGGGTATGGAGTTTCGAAGGTTTGGAGGCTCCACGGATACTAGTGGATGTCTTCAAACCATGTCCAAGGCCACCCAATTTTGAGAAACATCCACTTCTGTGGGCATGCGAGGTGGCTGCCCATGGCTCCAGCGCTCGGGGCAAATTGCTATGACTGGCAAGCCGGAATCATGGATGAGTTGGTTTAGCCCAACAGTCAGCTCGTCATACTTTGTGCTGAACATCTCATCTTCACCTTCATCGCTATAGTTTACTAGTTTAAAATGAATAGATGACATTTACCATTGAAGCAAAAAGGCATCATCAATTTCTCGGTTTGCTCAAGCTATGAAAGGGATACGCATGGATGCTGGATGCATTGTCAGTGTTTTATCAGAAAGTGTGCAACATGTTGTTTGCGTACGGCGGAGACCAAGAGATGCTTCAAACACGATTGGAACAGCGACGGAACAAATTTCAATATGTTGATTAAAAAAGAAACAGAGAAAAAAATGACCAGAACTATATGTGTAGGAAAAAAAAAAACTGGTCATGTCAATTCGGTGTTGTTTAACATACCGCCTTGTTGCTCTCCCTTCGGCGAGCCCATCCCAAAGGCTCCGCCTCCACGTCCAGGTCCGGCTCACCCTGCCAACGGCGAAGAGAAAAAGCAACGTGCAGGCCTGATCGAAGCTCCCCAACCACTAAGAACCAAGCAAAAGCAAAGAAGTCCCAAAGAAAAACTTGAGGTGTTGAAACAAAGCAAAAGATCTCCAACACCATTGGCAAGGAATGCCAACAGAAAACCTGAAGCACCTCTGGCGAGGTTGCAAACAGTTTACCCGTTTTTTGAAGGAATAAGCAGAAACCTTTGTTGGGAAGCCGAACAACCTTGGTAAGGAGCCAAAAACATTCGGAATGAGCGCTCATTAAGCTCTCTTAACGGTCGGGAATGCGACACAATCTCCATTTTCCCAGGCTAAGTTGGCGCAGAGCGGGGGCCTGAGAAAATTGTCCTTTGGTAGGTGTTGACAGACGAGGACATATATATATATATACACATATATATATATATATATATATATATATACACATAAATATTTTTATATGTATATATATATATATATTCGTTTTTGGCTCTTTCCCCCATCGGACGCCCGCCTGGCGTGCACATGCTGCGTCTGCATTGACCTGGCGAAAGGGAAGCAGTCCATGCGGTTAAGATCGGGAAGATCCGTGCTCGCAAGCCTTTGAAGGAAAACCCAAGGGCGCCCTCCTACCTAACATTAAGGTGTTTGCAACTCAGTTTCGCCTAAATCTGGTAAGTGTCCTTTTGGTGTCCCTTTGCAGACCCTCCAAAAGGGGGTCCCTGTTGTTGGACACTGTCATGCTCCAATTCTCAGAACCCCAAAACCCCTGTCAACCCCGGACTAATCATCCTGATGGATCAATGGAGCTGTATCTCCCCCAAGTGATCCGGATTTCCTGTCAAACGGGACACCTCTCCAAATCAAGAGGCGCGCCAAGCATTCCACGCGCCCGGTCCCGGCCCTCGCGGTCGCGCCTCCGCCACCTCCGGAAGGCCCTCGGGGGTCAGACGCACGCGGAAGCTCACGCAGGCCCCGGGTCCTTGGCTCGTCCGGCGGCCCAGCCGAAGCCTTCGCCGCAAAACGTCGCCCCTCCAACGAAAACGCGGGAGAACGTCACGCAGGAGAACGTGGGGAGACTGGGGCCCGGGCCCCTGAGTTCTTTTTGTGGGAAGTTTGAGTGGTTCCCCGCATGTCCTCCGTTCATAGCAAAGATGTTCCAACCACAGACCCCCAGACTTTGTTTGGACCCAGGAGAAAAAAACATGCGACTACTCCACTTCCGTTCGTGTTGTTTGCCGCTCATTCACCCGTCATTTGACCCCTAACCAGCGCTTACTTGGTTTTACCCTAATGCTGATTCCGTAACAAAGCAAGCAGAGAAAAAAAGGAAAATCCCTGAATTTGCCATCATATGTGGTTGGCCTACTGTGCTGAAAAGGGCCACCCGGCTGTGAATAAACCATGTTCAACTCAGGGATTGCAAGTATCGGGTCTTGCTCTATGGTTGACCCGCATCAAGAAGGCCTTTGTGCCGTTGTCGAGTGTGCAAAAAGGGGCACCTTCAAATACTTGACTGCCTAGGTCGATTTGTCACGTGGCCACGATCTCTGCCCCCTGAAACTAAGACTGCTCACAAGGAAAGACGGCTTCGCCAACAATCGCTCAGCCCTTTCCGGGTGGGTGCGTTGCTGAACGGAAATAGAGTCAGAAACAAAGAGCCTCCCCAACAAAAAGGAACCTTTGGAAAGAAGCCAACAACAGTGAGGTTGTTGGTTGGTTGAACGGATGGCCGGCTTGCTGCTTGGTTGCAGGCTTTCTTTGATTGGTTGGTCGCTTGCTTGCATTGCACTGCTTGGTTGATTGATGAGTGCCCTTGCTTGCTTGGTTGGTACATTGGTTGGTTGGCTGTTTCCTTGGCTCTACTCCGCTGCACCGTTGCTATCTTCAAAGGAGCCAAACATGCCTGCCCCTTTCCTAGCGAACCAACCATACCCGTTCATTTCCTCAAGGAAACCCGGCCAAACCCTGTCCGAGCCGCGCGCCGCAAGGCGCCCCGCCAGCTCCCGGCGCGAGAAAACCGCGTGGCGGCCGCAGAGGCGCCGGATCTGCGCGTTCCGCAGCTCCAGGCGCCTCGGGCGCTCGCTTCGACCCGGGCGCTTTTCGGGCGCGCGCCGCTTTCTCCGAAGCCGGAGACGTGTGGCAACAGGTCGGCTCTCCAGGTTTCCTGGTTTACCGGTTTGCCTTTAGGTTCCCTTTGCGATAGGCCTTCTACCAGAAGGGCCCGCCATGGGGCCTGCGTTTGCGAAATACCAGAAAAACTCAGAACAACACGCACCAGTACGCCATTCCCATGTACTCTGGAAAAGAACATGTGACCCAAACCTCGAGAAAACCAACAAACACACAAAAACCTCGAGAAAACACAAAGAAATGGCTTTTGTTGGTTTCTCGAGGTTTTTGCACTTCCCGCATTGTCCCCTCAGTGTTTTCCGAGTATTTCCTTCGTGTTCTCTCAGTGTTCCATTATATAACATTCCCTTACTATTCCCTGAGAATTCCCTGAAAAGTCATCATGTTTCCTTTAATACTCCACAAATCTTGCCATGCCTTTAATATTATCTTGCCCCTAGTGTTCTCTCAGCACTCCCCAGTATTCCTTTAATATTCCTCAATATTCCCCTAGTATGTTCCTAATATTCACAATACTTCCCAAGTATTCCCTTAATATTCCCCTAGCATTCCCCTTAGTATTCTCTATTCCTTTAGCATTGTCTCAGCCCTAGTAGTTGTATTCTCCTAGTATTCCCCTAATATTGCCCTAGTATTCCTTAGTATTTTCTTGGAATACCCCTAGCATTCTCCCAATATTCCCCCAGTAACCCCAGCATTCCTTAGCATTTGCTCAGTTTATTTGTAGTATTCTCTCCCAGTATTCCCCTAGTATTCTCCTCGCATTTCCTCTTGTTATTCCCCTGGTACTCCCTTATTGTCCCCTCGGTATTTCCCTAGTTCTTTTCTACTCAGAAACTGGAGCGCAGATGCAGGATACCAGGGGAAGCACAAAGGGGAATGCTGGGCAATACTAGGGGAATATTTGGAGAATACTAGGGCGCACCCAGAAAATACTAAGGAGTACTGAACAATATTAGGGGAATACAATTCTAGGGGTAAGGGAATGCTAAAGAAATACTATTAGGGGAATACTAGGGGAATACAACTCTAGGGGTAAAATAATTCTAAAGGAATAGGGGCCTATTCGAGCAATAGTGAGGGGAGTGCTAGGGGAATATTAAGGGAACACTAGTGACTACTATGAAAATGCTAGGAGAATACAGACTACTTGAGGAATGTTAAGGGAATCTCGGAAAACACTGAGGAAATACTAGAGGGTACACCAAGAGAATACTAGAGGAATAGTGGGGAATGCAGGGGGTCTGCTAGGGAATTACCAAGAAGCTGCTAAGGGGACTGAAGGAATATTTGGGGAAACTTGAACACTGAGAGAAGATTAGGGGTATACCAAGACAATACAAAAGGAGTTAGGGGAATACCAGGAGAATACAGAGAAGATTATGAGGCAATATGCGTGGACAATTCGGGGAGTACCAAGAGAATACTAGGGGAATGATAAGGGGAATACCAGGGGTACTAGGGAAGCACAAAGGGTGAATACTCGAAAAACAAAAGGGGAGTACTGAAAAAGTACTAGGGGAACAGTTACTAGGGGAACACTGAGGAGATACTAGAGCGAATAACAAGAGAGAGAGAGAGAGCTAAAGGAACTTTATGGGAATACCGAGGGCATGATAGAGGACTACTGGGGGAACACAGATTACCAGCAGAATGCTAGTGAACTGTTTGGGGAACATTAGGGGAATACTGAGCGAATATTAGGGGTATACTAAGAAAATAACAAAGGCACTCTGGGGTAATGCCAGGGACAGAATTACTAGGAGGGTGCTAATTAGGGGAATACTGGGGATCTTTTAGGGAATAGCAAGGGAATCCTTGGAAAACGCTGATTGCCAGAAAGCAGGGGAGAGGAAAGATGCCTGCAGTGGGTGGCCTTCTCCAAAAATAACTAAAGACCGCATGTGCAAGAAAGGTGCATTCACATATGCCAAGGTGTAAAAAATGCTGATTTCAAAATCACAGGCCCCATGGCGGGCCGCTCTCCCTTCTAATGGGTGGATTGCCTGTGCCCTGTCCCCATCATCAGACCATGGTTTCAAGGGAAATGGGCAAAGAGCATCTTGGGTAATGCCCTCAAGAAACCAGGTGTCCTTAGCAAGAAACCCCCCAGCCCCTGTTGATGTGGGGCCGTGAAATCTTATGTGACTCTTGAGTATATCGCCTTGGAATGTGCAAACAACAAAAAGGAACCATCTAAAAGATATCCCACTTCAACAAGGAAAGCAAAAGGTCCCAACGCCAATCTTCTACCCAAACTCATTTTGGCCCATCTCTGTCCTCGGCTCAAGTCCTTTGGAGCCGGGTCTTAAGTAGGCGGTCTGCAAAAGTCGAACACCTTCCCCCTTGAAAAAGAAAATAAGAAGAAAAAACACTACCACCAAACACCAAAAAGCTTCCACCACCACCCCCCCTTTTCTGAAAATCAAAAGCTACAAACCATTCCGCACCAAGGCAAGCATGGCCCACAGAACTCACCGAAACCATCCGAGCAGCCCATCGGTACCGAAGGCCACGAGGCCGAGGTGGCTGCATCCCCTGGGCCAATGTTTGCGTGAAGCCAAAAAGACAATGGCATTTCTGTAATCTCGGCAGTGGAGGAAAAACAGAAATCGAAGGAAAGGTGGAAAAAATAATGCAGGAAAATATACCTCAAGAAACATGTGAGGGTGGGCAAAGGTGAAGAGGAAATCAAATTCAAGAAAGAAGCGAAGCAGATTATCAAGGTTGCTTCAGGCTTTCAAGAAGCAATGCAGTGAAAATTGTGGAGGAAATTCGAGTTACACCACAACAACATGCAAAGGATAATATGAAGGAAGATCAAATCCATCCAGGAAGCCCATGGCAAACCCATGGCAAAGAAAAGGGCGGCTCATATGAGCCACGGTCAAAATTATGGCCCAACTGACATTTAGGTCTGGTAAATGCCATTTCCTGATGGCAATTTGGCAGGTGTGTCTCATGTCATCCCCTTTATTACCGTAAATGATAATAGATATTGGCCGTTGCTCATATCCGGCTTAACTTTCGCCCCCACTAACACCGGGCGCAAGTCCCCAATTCTAACCTCATTTCCCAACCAGCACGGGTTTGTGTACAAGAACCCTCCTCTCATCTTCCAAAAAGGGAGCTGTGCACCGCACCCCTGAAAAGTTCATTCTCCGGGCCCGCACTATAAATCCGCCATGTTCTTCTTACATCCATGTTCAACACACTGCCCTGCGTCCAACAATCATGGAAGCTGACCATGTCAGCACACTTTTCTTTCGGGGGATCTGCCTGTCCACTTGCTTGTTGGAAAAGAGGGTTCACCTTAGACGAAACCATGTAAGGAAGCTCCTTCACCCAACTGTACCTCTGGCTTTGGGTTTTGAAGCGGCTCACTTGGCCAAGCCACAGCAGCGTCTCCGTGGTGAACTTGGGCAACGAGGCGCCTCCAAGCTTCGAGGGCCCAAATCCGCATACCCCAAAGAAGGAGGTTGCAAAATATATGAGATCAAGTGTCCAACGGTTGGGTTTCCTTTTTGGCATCATTTTTGTGCGTCCCCTACTTTGAGAAAGACCCATTTGTTTGGCTTCTTTGGCGTCAGACTCGCGGTGAAAGCAACATTGGTCCCCATGGCCCATGGCGGCATTTCTAGACGTGGTTGACATATTGGATCGGTCTTTGACCCTGCGAAAAAAATGTTTTATGTAAGAAATCGGCAAGCCCGCCCAAGGGTAGGTAGCTCTACTGGTCGGACACAAGGAACTGGATGTGTGCTGAAGTAGGGGCACCGTACGTTGTCTTTTTGGCTTCCCCTGGAAACCCAACCCCGAAAAAAGAGTGCCCTCAAAGAAGCACACATCCCTCTTGGAGTCCCTTCAAACCAAGCTGAAGATCAAGTATCTCTTTGTTGGCGGTTCGGATTGGAGATGTGGGGATTTCAAGGGTAAAATAAGAAACCACCCCGTAACCACCAGAGCACCAATCCAAACCACCTAATAACGGGAAGCTGATGACACAGTACCAACTAAAAGAACATCCAACTGAATTCCCCCGCCTGACTGCACGGAAGCCACGCGCGGCTTTCCGTCATCGAGCTCCAGGCGGAAGCTGACACTCTGCCCCACCTGAAACCAAGCGGAAACCAACTGGGATGCTCATCCTACCAAGCAAATGGGCGGTCAGCATGGTAATTTACAGAAAACAACTCATTGTACGGCAATAATATAATAATAATAATAATAATAATAATAATAATAATAATAATAATAATAATAATAATAATAAAAGGAAGAAGAAGAAGAAATAATAATAATAATAATAAGAATAGTAATATTACAGATATCTGAACATAAGGAAAAAGACTCTGTGTCCCGCTGGCAACCTCCTATCTCACATACTTTGAACATCCAAGAAGGCGATGTGCTGCACCTGAGATGCGTTAAAAATGGGTCAATGAAAGTGACATGTTGAATGGACTTGTAGTTCAAGGAAAATCACCCAAAAGCAATTACTAATTGCGAGAGCCGATTCCAGTGAAAATCTCCAAACCGAAGCAGTTTGGCTCGGTAGCGTGGCTTGGTGTCTTGGAGCAAACAGGAGCCAAATCTCCAAACCACCAATCTTAACCAACTCAAGTATACCTCATGGAGAATCATGCAAAAAAGGAAGAAAAACACCCGATGATGGTAGTCCGGTCGCCGAAACTGCACCAGGTTCGAGTTGGGACCATGCCCATAAATCGATATTGGGGGGGGGACAGCAACCGAATAAGATCAAATTGCATTAGAATTCCAAGAGCGCAATGCTTTTAATGGGCGATGTTTTCGAGTTTTGGCATATCCACAAAGCAATAGGGTAGTCCCCAAAGCCCAAGACGTGCGTTTTGCCGCTAGCACTTCCCCGAAAGTACACAGCCCCATTCCGTGATCAGTCTCAGTCACTCCAAAGAGGGGTCAAGGGAAACTGACAAACGAAACAGGGGGCAAAGAAGACAAGCGACAACACGGACATGCCCTTGTCAAAATGTGCAAAGAATGCGCATGTCAAAACCAGTGACCGCATGCTGGAACGGTGTTGCAAAGCAAGACGAAGATAAAGCCAATATGTCTTGGAATTCTGTCGGAGCTTGTTGCAAGGAAACCGACAACCCTGAACTCCAGTGGAAATGCATGGACAAACAAGGCGCCCTTTCTTGATACTCAAGGAAAACCCTGAACCCTCCCCCCCCCCCGCCCCAGACAACTAACTGAACAAAGGGCACCCACCTATTTGGGCTTGGTTGGGTCGGCTTTCCAAAGAAACCAACAGAAAATTGTCCAAACTCAGGGGCGCCTTTGTATCAGCGACCCCTTTTTCTCCCCAAACGGCACCGAGCCAGGCGGCCTCCGCCCCTGGGAGCTGGCCGAAGCGGAAGAGCACGTCCTTGCCCAGCAGCTGGTGGATGTCCTCCGTCGCAATCGGTGGTTTGGGGGTAGACCGCTGGAATTCCCCCCCCCCCCACAGCCCCCCACGCCCCAGCCTACGAAGAAGACTGCAGCCTGTGCTTTGCTTGTTTTTTGACGGAAAACACACATGGAAGCCCAACAAAGAATGACAAACCAGTGCAGCAAACGATGACGCCGATGTGGAATCTGTGATGGACCCAGGTTGCACGTTGGCTTCCCTTCAAACCTTGGACCTAAGTTGCTTGGCCCCCTGAATGGGCCGCATTTGTGTATGTTATTTATTTAGTTGGATCCGTTGGTCGTTGATGGACCCCAACGATCTTTTTTTGGGGGGGTTCCCGAAAATGACTCTCAGTCATTTGGAGAGCCCATCCTGGTGGTGAATGAAGCCGCGCCCGCGGGCCGCATCCACGTCACAAATCGTACCCGTATGAAGCTTCTGCAAACCTCGGCGCACTGAGACGACAAGTCACTCCGCTTGCAACCTCTCACTTGGAAGATTTGCTTGCCGGACTGGGTAATCCCTGCGTATGGACACTTTGCTTTGGCTACCAGGGACCAACCATGCGAGGACAGCACGGGGCTTTTGTTGGGGGACTGCATGTAAGCTAACGCACAGATCGGTTTCCTCTTGGTTTCCTCTTTAAAAACCGGTGTTGAGGTTTCTGTTGTTGTTCCTGCTTTCAGGAGGATGCCCGTTCAAAGATCGTTTTAAAGTAGGGAAACGCAAAGCCCTGTCTCAGGATGCCTGCCCACTTTCAGACAAACCTACATCAGAATCTCACTGTCACAATCTTGCTCATATTAATTTCGTCTTGGATTCTGGGTCACACTAGATCACACATACCCCCTAAATACCCTGCATAGATCCATACTTGTAGAATTTCCGTGCATGACATGGAGCCCATGACCCCAGCTCCAAAACATTCCACCCTCCCCCTCCCCTGAGGTTCCGCCGCGGCCAGGCGGCAGGCCCCCATGTCCAGCGGCGAGCGCTTCACGCGGGGCCGCTGCTTGGAGTCGAGCTCCACCTCAAAGCGCACCTCCACGGCTCTTCGGGCGCCGCACGAAGCGGACGGCGGAGCTTTTGCTCGCGGAAAAAAACGAAAAAACACCATGGGAACCACAACGGCATGTGTGTGTGTGTGTGTGTGGGTGTGTTTGCGTGTGTGGGTATGTGGGTGTGTGTGTGTGTATGTGGGTGTGTGGGTGTGTGTGTGTGTGTGTGTGCGCGTCAGCATAGGGATTTGGAACCCCGACATAGTGGTTGTCCTTTTGGTTTCCCTCCAAGCCCAACACCTGTACCCTCAACACAACACAGACCCACATGATTTCCCGTGTCTCCAAGGCTTCCAAAGTAAAGAAATTTGACAGGGAAAGAAAAACGTTGACAAACCTGCAAACAACCTCCGGGGCCAAAAAACTACTTGAGACCCCCAGCCCTGGTCGCCTGCTTACCCACCTTGGCATTTTCCAGCTGCTCCTGGGTGAAGAGCACGTCGTAGCCACAGAGCGCGTGGATGGCCTTCTGCCGGATGAAGCCGATGCCTCTCTCGTCTTTGGGCACCTCGGATCACCGCCCATTCGACATGAATCAATCACTGCGACTCACTGCTGATTTCCGTTGCAACTGCCATTGTTCTGAGGTTCCAAAAGGGGACACCTCAGTGGGTGGCAAATTCTAAGAGCTTGGCCTGGGGAGTGTCTCGAAAGTGGCAAGCTCTTTGGGTAGTGCTACTCAGCGGGTCCTAGAATTCGACAAGCAAACGGATTTTGCTCAAGGAAACAGATGGCAAGGTGGAGGGGTGGTCTGTGGGCCATCCCTCGGCCAATTTTTTCTACCCAAATGGCCTTTGTTTGGTGACGTTGCGGCTCGGAGTGCTCGCAACCCTGGCCTCGCGCACTGTGCCCACGTGCTCCCGACAGAGCAGTTCTGGCCAGCTCAGCCTGCGAGAAATCGACGCATGGCTCAGTCGCCCCAGACTTCCAGTGGATCAGTTGATCTTGGTCGTTAAAGGAGAAGACTCCGCCGCCCAAAATAGATGTGTGATTTTTTAGGGGCAAGCTCCACCAAAACATCATGAACTCACAGGTGCGGACCAGGGACAGCGGTTGACCGCTCCCCCCCCTCGGCCGGAAACATGGTTTAATGTTTACGCAATCCACCCCTTATCTGACAGTGGCTGCCCGACGGAAAAGACTGTGGCTCCTGGCTTGTCGGACTCCGATTCAAACAGGGCAGTGGAAGACTACCGGGACAGGGAAAACAGGGTACAGGTGGGCCACACCGGGCAAATGGTATGCCCCTTGTATTTCCCTATGCTGGTCACAAGTGCTTGTAATCCCAGGAAATGACTTGTTCGTCCTCGACAGGGGGAATGAGCCAGCCACAAGCTGCAGTCGAGCAGCTTGTTGTCATTCGCCCGCTCCTGAGACCATCCGACAGTGAAAGTGGACCAAGGTCTGTTGCCGACACCAAGAAACAAAAACCTTTTCAAGTGCTTAAGTAGCGGGGTGTGAAGCAATCTCTCTTAGGCTCTCTCTTAGGTTGGAATTCCCTTTGGGCCCCTTCAAAACCATCCAACAGCAGCACCAACTTGGGTGACCCGTTCAGTCGGGTGTCTGCCAAATGGTTTCCTTTCGGATGTGCAAAACGCATGATGGTTTTTGGAAGCTGTTCAAGAAGGCCTCCCTGACCTAACACCAGGTGTGTTCTTTTTAGGACACCCTTTTCACCGTAAACCGACCAACGAGCAGCACGAGCGCAAAGCACCCGAAGCACACGGCCTCTCGGCATCTCCAGGCCCGCTGGATGACCAGGCAGGCATGCAGCTCCTGCCTCACATCCAGTCAGAGTCTGGTTTTCCCTTGCAGTGGGGATCCTTCACTGTTTGGGGAATCTTTGACGTTCCGTTTGAGGGGGCATGCTTGACTTTTTTGGGGGAAACACCAGGTTGATCCTCACTTGAACGACATGCTCCGCAGATCCACATGAAACCCAAAAAGGCAGTCTAGCTACAGTAAACGAGGGTGCTTTTGGTTCCCATGTTGTCTGCAGAGGGAGCAATTACAACTCGATTATACCAGAACTGATATCATGTTTGTTCCGTTGGTGTCAGGGGTGTCCTCATGCGCCATCAGGAGGGAGGGCCACTTCAACTTGTTTTTCCTAACTGATGCTTACCTGACTAAAACCCTGTTCCCAGAGATGTAGAACCCTTATCAAGACCTGATTCGCAAAAAAAATGTCAATCAGGGCAAGTCACAATTGTTCGCCTTGCAAGAAGCACTTAGCGTAGATACCCCTAGCCCCTCGATCGCCTGCGCACTCCCTGAAAGAGCCGACGCAGGAACGCGGCCGCTGGCTCCCGCGGAGCCGCGCGTGCAAGCGCACAGGGCAAGGCCTGAATACTCGAAACCGTGAATCTGAGTTTTTTTGGGGGGCACCCTTTTCAGTTTGATGGTTTGTGACAGGTGGGTTTGTTGTTACATATCGGCGACTCCTTGTCTTTTCCATTTTTGGGGTGATTCAAACATCACCTTTTGGCATTTCAAAACCCGCCCAAACTCACATAGCGCTCTTGTGGGAGTCCCGATGACGGGTTGGCAAGGCACGATGCATGGAAGCTCCCGGACGGCGACACAAGTTCAGGAGTCTGAGCTTGAAGCTAAGCCCAAAGGTTGTGGAAACGAGCGTTCAATGGTAGTTTCAAGGGAACCTCAAAAGTAATTTTGGTTAGGATCAACCATGCCTTCCTTCCTGCAACCTAAGATTTGGATACGTTCTCTGCCAGACATTTGCTTTGTGCGTTTAACCTAGGGAAAGATCCACATCTCTCCTGACAACCACAAATAAGTGCCAACCCAAATGCAGCAGGAAGACGAAACACATGCTAGGGTAACAATTCAAGGCTCACTCACGGTCCCATCAAACTGCTCTAAGCAACCCAATGAGCAGAGGGTTACCAGTGCACACGTTCTTGCTGCAAAAACCTCAAGCACGTATCTCATTCTCATGTGGCCTGGCAAGTATATACATCCAGGAGAGCCAGTGTACATGAAGCGACATTTTGCGTTGCAGGAGAGCGTGCTGTGCTACGCAGAGCAAATCTAGTTCCGATGGGTAGCAACAACATGAGAAAACAAAGCTTAGGTTCTGCTTCGAGGGGTGAACATCACATCCTGTGAGAAGCCATAGTGGGGTTGTATTTCGAAAAGGTTCCTAGGCTATATCACAGCCGAAGCCTTGCGCGACCTGGGTTCCCAGCCGCAGCTCGCTTTTGGTGTGCCTGGGTGAGGCACAGGCCCCTTCTGTCAGCTTCCTGCTAGGTTGGGTGCTTCCACCCTTCGATGTATCAAGAACCAAGGGGTTAAGATCCAGGCCGCCAACGCAAGCCATCCATTGAGTGTTACTTGATGTTGCTGCCGACTGCTAAAAACCTGCGAATGCTCAACACTGACTACCAAACAAAATGGGAACAAGCCAGCAGCGACGCTCATCACTCTTCAGCATCACTCATTCTTGGTTCACGCTGGGTCACCCCACTTTCAGCGCTGCGTAGACCTCATACAAAGCCCAACACACAACGGTAGAGTCCAAATTTCGAACAATGCATGCTGTACCACTGGCAAAACCCTGTAAGCGCCCCGCATGCAACAGTTCCGATCTTGAATAGCGCAGGTCCACCTCTTCCATACCAACAGCGCTCCACAATTCCACACAGCGCTCCATACAAACGAGCATACACAAAGACTGCTCTTGAGCTTGCCTGTACACAAAAGCAAACAAAACAAATAAAGAAACATACAAGCAAGCAAGCAAGCAAGCAAGCAAGCAAGCAAGCAAGCAAGCAAGCAAGCGAGCAAGCAAGCAAGCAAACAAACAAACAAACAAATAATTAACCAACCATCCAACCAAACAAACAAACAAACAAACAAGAACAAACACACACAGAACACACATGGACACAAGCACTCACATATTCAAAGACTCAGTTAAATAAACACATGCCCAAATTCCAAGCCCATGATAAGCACACGATGAGATATGGATCTCGGAAGTTCAACAAACTTGCCTGGGTTGTGCCAGTTTGCTGCTCGTCCATGTAACAGCTGTCACATGGTCAGATTTTCCACACACGCATTCGGTCGAACCAAGTCAATGTTGCAGTTCTCAAACTGTGCCATTACTCTTAGCCGTACTAGCTGTAGCTGATTTGTGGCTGCGAGTATCAGTGAAGGGATACATTCCCCGTTTTCACTATTCAACTGAGAATTCAGCCAAACTGCTGCGAACATATACCTACACATGTAAAAGCGCAATTGCAGGCAACATGTGGGCAGAGTTCCCACATGCAATCCAATTCTACATGTGAGCCATCGTGCGGAAATACGCTGCGGCCCTCACAGGGGCATTGTTGGCAAAAAACGTTTCGGGAAAACCAAGGGAAATGGTTCCTCTTCTGAAAAAGCGGTCTATTTTCGTGTCCACTAAATCTGGAGCCTGTATGGCCATCGATTCATGCTCTCATGACAATGCTCGCACCATGCTGCGGGTATGACTGAATCCAAGTACTAGTCAGACATGCTGCCTTCAAACCCACAGCACTGAGAGCACTGCATGTACTGCTTGGCGTGCTTATAATGCGGGCAACGCTCATGTGTGTGATACACAGTCCCAGCTGGGGTCATCCGGATGGCTTTGATCCTCTTCCTAACCCTCTCGGGCCTTTCCGGCCTCACTTCGGGCACGCTGTCTGGGTAGTCCAAAATTGTTGCCTCGCTGGGGACTTTCAAGTCCTGCTGCACCTTTCTGATCAAAAAATGCCAAAACCATTTGCCCAGGCTCCAGGCTCAACCCCAACGCCGGCCAAAATGGCCAGCATCATCTAAATCCATTCACCGCTGGTGGGCTCGCTTCCTTCGACTTTCCTTCCTCTGGCTCCGATCACGCAGAACCACGCGGCACTCCTCCGTTCAGGCCACGATCTTACTGGCGCCCTTGTCACTCAACATCTTGCGCTCAATTTCCTGGAGCTCCATCTGCTCCAATCGTGCGGTTGTCATCGGTCTACAAATGGGTTATGTAGAGGGCGATATATTTAACACACCAGCTGAAAGTTTCTTAAAACTTCTGGAACTTCGCTACTGCCTCTTCTTAACTGTACGCACAAATGGTAGCACTAGCCTCGCACATCCCAGGCGAGCACAATGTGTGGGCTGATCAGCTCAGCCGCGGAAACACATCCGCATTCGACAGCAAGCCGCAAGCTCGCTTTCGTTTTCGCCCGCATGATTTCTGGCCCCACATATGCATGCTGTCATTGCATCCGCCCGACGCCCCATGGCGACCGGAGCATAAGAGTGCTTCGCAAACGCTCTGAAAAGGGGGTGATAGATTAGGCCGTTTGCTTGGAACCCTGAAGTGGGGCCAATTGAGAAGGCTCCGCAGAGGGATGCAGACACGGGGAAAGGACACGCGCTGTCCTTCCCCCCACACCCCCGAGCCTTTACTTCCAAGCAACGCCTTATAAAGAAAAAGAGCATGCGCTCATGTTTGTCGGTCGTACTCTTTTATCTTTTGCCGCATGTCCCTTTCGGATTGAAGCAGTGATCAAGATTCTAACGTTTCGGGTTTTTCCTTTTCCCTTATGTTTGAATCTTGATCGAATCTTCGGACGCGTTGCCGTTTTCTGCTTCAAGCACCTAAGGGTCATGCGTGAGGGTTTATCCCCCCTTTTTTGCCCCACCCTTCCACCCTTTCACCACTCACATGGATCCTCGAGGCCCAGCCGCAGCTGGCGCCCCAGAGATACTGTGCACACCATGCCCCCGCATGCAGTAGCCGCAAGTTTCAACCTTGCACCGGTGCCGCGTTGCACACAAACCAGACGCACGCCACGCTTGTCGGCCCATGCGGCGACCAATTGCACAAAAATTTGCAAAGGCCATCTGTGGTGAACAGCTTGTTCACTCCGGCTTGTAATGCGGTATTGTCTGTACCAGAGGGCATGCAGACGCCGTGCGCTCATTGCTTGGCCCTTGGCGGTCCAAGCGATTCGCATGAGCGCGAGCTGGGCCAAGGTTTCGAAGCACGCTATGTAGCGTTGGGCCTCCTTGGTGAGGCAAGGCCACTGCTGCTGGACTTTCTGGAAGTCCCACGTTTCTGCGAACCATGAGACAGAGTGGCTGGAGTAGTAAGGACTGCTTCCAGGGCACTGGTGCGCCTGGAACAGGAGGCGCGTTGACCCCCCCTTCAGTGTTTCAGTCAACCCCGGTATAAGCGAGCCCGCTGGGCCGCAGGCCTCATCACCCGCCCTTCAGAGTGGGGTTGTACCTGGCAGGGCAAATGTTTGCGTGGCCATGCACGCTGGGCTGTGAGCAGCCTGTTACTCAGGGGCTGCACTTTTTCCGGTAAGAGCGGCTTGATATAAGCGGCTGGCTGACGCCGCCCAATCGGGCCAACCGACCTCTGCTGAGATCGTCTGCCCAATCATTGCACCTTCCTGGAACGTGCGTCGGCTGCAGCAGCACATTGTGAGCGTCAGCCCAGAAGGCTGTTAATTGCACTAACAGTTCCAACGGCCAGGAGGTCGTGAACAGCTTGTTAAGGCTTGCTTCCGTTGCGGAATTGTCCGTGCCTGAAGGCATGCTAAACGAGTAGTGCCCACCACCAATGTGGCTGTGGGTTGCTTGCAACAGTGCTAACTGTGCCAGCGTCTCGAAGCATGCGATGTACCGCTGTCCAGGCTTGACAAGGCAAGGCCACACGGCTCGTATGTCCTGCATGTTCCAGGTCTCGGCAAACCAGACCACTTGGGAGGATGTGATTGCCCAGCCCCCGATGCCTACCAAGTCGTCTTCGGCACACGCATCCGCGGCAGCCAGAGCTTGCAAGTGCATACCTGAGTTGTCGAATTGCGTCGGATCTGGCTGAGCTGTGGGTGTCAAGGCAAGGCATGAACAGCTTATTTTAGCACAGCGCAGCCATGCACGCCTTGCGTTTGCAGAGCTGCATATCCGGATGAATCTGGTGCACAGGGTACGAGCAGTGCTTGAGACGCAAGCCGCAAGCTGTCTGTACTGAGTTGCCGTGAGTGCACAGCACGGCATGTACGGATCCCCAGGGCACAAGGCGAATGCCAATTGAATCGGCGGGATCTGGTGAGCACGCCTGCTCATCTGTTGGTTCTTCTTCGGATTCGGCCTCCGAAGATTCCAAGGCGGCCCCTGCCACTGCGAGTGCTTCCTCATCTGCGTCCAGGGCTGTGGACAGCAAATTGTCCACCTCCCTGTGGTACAAGAATCTGGTCAGGCTGGGTGGAAGGCTCTGAAGCTTCAATTGGCTCGGAGGGCTGCCCTGTGGAACCTGAAAGGCTGGTTCCACAGTTGGGCCCCCCCGAGCCATTGGCCGAGGGGGTTTTCAGCTCCGTCTGATGGCGGATGTGGTGTCGTCCCTGCTGTACAGCAGTGCGGACGAGAGGCGATGGTGTCCTGAAGCCTTCTCCTGTCTTCAGGAAGGCGTAGCTGCGCCGCTGCACTGAGTAATGCGCACTTAAGGCTGTGAAGGGTAAACGCCTCGGCCTTCGCGCGCCGTCCCTGAGCGCGCCAATCGGCAAGGACCTCCCAAAGGTCAACCAAAAGGGCGTGCCCCGCCAAGTCCAAAGACCGTGGCAAGCCCCAGCCCAGTTTTCCAGCACCCTTGCAGGGCAAAGGGTTAAAAGGCCGCAACGAGCAGGGAGAGTTGCTCTGCTGGAATTACAACATGGAGCGGCCATGCCAGAAGAAGCCGTGCCAGTTGAAGCATCAGTGCATGAAGTGCTTTGGGCCTCACCCCTACACCTTGTGCACAATCCTGTGACCCGAGCACGAGCCGGCCAATTCCGCTAATGCTCTGGCTAGCAGTGGGTCATTCAGTTTCGGCTGTTCCGCTGCAGGGCTAGGCATGCCCCTGTCCTCACCCAGTGAGGTTTCCCAGGCCTGCGCTGCCCAGCGCTTCTCCCCGAGAAGCTCTTCCCAAGGCCCCTGTGCCTTCTGGGTCTGCCCCTGTGCGGCCCAGCGCTTCTCCCCGAGAAGCTCTTCCCAAGGCCCCTGTGCCTTCTGGGTCTGCCCCTGTGCGGCCCAGCGCTCCCCTTGCGGGCCCCTTGAAGCCTGACCTGCAGTACTTGGGCCTTGCACCGGACACGCCTTTATACGCGTGGGACGGCAGCTGGTGGATGAACTTCTATGATTTGCCCTTCAGTAGCCCCCCCACGTGTGCCACGCGCATTGACGAAGACCATCACGCCTTCAGCATTGACTCCTGCTGGAAACGCAATGAACGGCAGTCTTACCGCAAGCCCGCGCAGCCCTGGCCAAAGCCCTCCCAGCCGCAGGAGAACACGCGCGCTATCGCCCAACTGGAGCAGTGTGCGCAAATTCCTGCCATGCGACTGCCCTGCACTATGAAGGCTGCGCGAGTAGGAGGGGTCGCCAAAGCGTGGTATCTGGGTGACCAATCCCGAGTGTGCTGCGCATTGCCTTGTGCGTCATCGCCCTGCCCTTTCCCCTGTGCGAGGATACGCACACTTCGCACTACTGCAGCCGGTGCTATGAATCCATGCAACCCAATGTCGCCATGTACTGATGCCTTGCCCTGTGCCTTGACCGCACGACTCAGCTTCAGGAGGGCCACGCAGTGCACTCTTTTCATTTTCCTGTTTTTTAGGAACTGTCTTCTGTAAAGCCTTGGCCTTGTTTCGCAACCCATCGCTTTACTTGTGCAGTCTACACAGTGCGTTGGCCCTCCTTATGACCGCTCCGTATGCAGCAGATGCAAGAAAACAGGCATAGCGCGTGTACCACCTGTCCGCCCAAATATTGCGGCCTGATCATTAACTCTGCTGCGGTGATGCGACCCACACCGCTTCGCATCGCAAGGGACCTGGCCGAGGAAGAATCACACCTCGCAACCAAGCTGTGCTCCCTTCCAGTGAGAAAGCTCAGAACCTTTCCCACCAGAATTCCCTCGCTAACCACTGATGCCATGGCCAGGTACTCAGACTCACAAGAGCTGAGTGCTGTTGCCCTCTGCGATCTCACATACTGAAAAAGTACATTTTGTCCTACGCATATGATTCCGCTGCTTGTGGATCTTCGCAGTGCTTTACAACCT